GTGTTCAACAGCTAGCAGCGTATGTGATTCACCCCATGCCACATTAGTGTCACAAATTTTATGGTTATCTCCAGCAACATTTCTCTAGTACTTGCACTTATCTTTTGTCTAATTTAACCTTAACTGAATTCTCCTTTTCTCCTGGAAGCATTTATATTCAAAGTGATGATTCCTTCCCTTAGATGCATAGGGAGAGTCTCTAAATTTGATGGAAATGGACACTTGAGTAGTAACTTAGCCTTATGTACTCTGTTGGAATTTGTGCTAGCAGTTTGAGCACTAGTTCTGTGTGCCTATGAACTTAATGCTGCTTATTGTCTCATTCTGACTTCATGGAGAATTAATCCCACCTTTAAGCAAAGGCTATTAAGTTAATCGTATTTTCTGTGCAAAAATTAAATTTTTATTTTCAGCATTTAGCCAAGGAATTTTTCCAGTAGGTGCTCAGCTATTTAAAAACAAAACTATTCTCAAACATTCATCATTAGACAACTGGAGTTTTTGCTGGTTTTGTAACCTACCAAAATGGATAGGCTGTTGAACATTCCACATTCAAAAGTTTTGTAGGGTGGTGGGAAATGGGGTATCTTCAATGTTTATTTTAAAATAAAATAAAATAAGTTCTTGACTTTTCTCATGTGTGGTTGTGGTACATCATATTGGAAGGGTAAACCTGTTACTTTGGCAAATGAGGCTAGCACCTCCCCTTGCGTGCTTTAAATGACATCTGCCTGGGATGTACCACAACCATATGTTACCTGTATCTTAGGGGGATGGATAAAACATTTGTGGTTTACTGGGTAATCCCTAGATGATGTATGCTTGCAATCCTATATAAAACTAAATTTGCTATCTGTGTAGAAAATAATTTCATGACATTTACAATCAGGATTGAAGTAAGTTCTTTACACAGTGATCTCTCTGAATCAGTTCAGACAAGGGATGGGGGAAAATGCCTTCTAGGTTTTGAACTTCTGTGCATTAGTGCAGATGTTGTGAATGTGTAAAGGTGTTCATAGTTTGACTTCCTATGTATGTTTTTCAAAGAATTGTTTCTTTTTTTTGAACTATTTTTCTTTCTATTTTTGGTTATTTTGCCATCACAGTTTCAATGTGTATCTTATGTCTCTACTCAGACCATATTTTTAAAGGGGTATCTCATTATGGGGCAGGGAACTTTTTAACAAGTCTTATTAAGATCTGAATCTTGGTTCTAAGTATTGTGTATAATACGTGAATGCTTGTCCTGGTTGCAGAAGGCCTTTTGTTTGGTCACAGAGTTTCCAGGAAACGATGTCACACGTCACTGTAGCCTCTTGGTGTAGCAAGCTCACATATAAAATACTTTTGTATATGCACAATATAAATCATCTCATATGGATATGAAACTTTAAAAAAAAAAAACTCAAAAAGGTAGAATGTAATTGATTACCTTGATTAGGGCAGTGTTATTTCCAGATCCTAATAATTCGTAAGTACTATGGAAAAGTTATTTCAATCATTGTACCTTGATATTAAAACAAATATCCTTTAAATATTTCTAATCAGTTAGCCTCTACAGTTCTTTTGTCTCCTCTTATATGTAACTCTTACGTGGGAGACTTTTCCACTTATAGGAGACATGAGAATGTATGCTTATTCTCAGAAGGTTCATAACTGAGATGCTCAGTTAACAACTAGTTGAGCAGTCAGCTTCCTAAGTGTTTTAGGAAGTTTGTTCGTTATATTTTCAGTAATATAACTAGGAGAAATGGAATGCAGGTAAGCGCTGAATTCAAGACTTTTCATTTTAAGTTCCTGAATCTGCATCCCACTTGAGTTCTTGTTAAGCATTTTAAGTTTAACTGATTGTAAGTTAGGTTTCAAAGAATCAGTATTGCCCTTGATCTTTTCCTTTTTATGGAATTAATGGGGGAGGAACCCCCTCCCCAGCAAAACAAAAGTAAATTGTTAAAGCTCATCTTCATAACTTTTTCCATTTTGAATTCTACAGAAATACTGGAAAACACTAGTGAATGTTTAAAATTACTTTAGATTAAATTATATGAAAGCCTGTTTTTCTCACTGTCCTTGAACGAAGTCTGCTTAAGTTGTTAAAAACCATCAAGCAAAGCTGTTTAGTGAAGAAGTGCTACTGGTATGAGGAGAGGAAAAGCTTTATTTAAGAAATCTGATAGCCTCATCTATTACACTTCTCAACCTCTACTACTACTACTATCCTACTTTAACAGGCTCTTTTGAAGTCCATTCCAGTTACGTGCAGTAGTATGGCTGTTTTGAGTATAGGGAGTAGAAGATCAGTTTGTTCCTGATGATGTAGCAAAGGCATTTGTGTATTATTGCTTATTTGGAAATACCAACTGTAAGTAATGTGTTTAATAGGGATACACACTGTTTTAAGCCACTGAACTAAGGCTTTATTCAGCAAATTACAGTGTATCCTTTACCCAGCATCGTGCCAAGCACTAGGCATTTATTGGTGTCAAAATCACTGTGGTTTCTGCTTTCCTTGAACTGTCTAATCAAATACACTGATGTGACACCAAAGTGTAGCAAATGCCATGATGGAGCAATGTGTTGATGATAGATGTTAAAGCCATGACAGAGTTTATGCTAGTTAAAATGATGAGAGAGGTAACTGAGCTAGATTTGAAGGATGAGGAGTAGTAGACTAGTCAAAGGGGAGAGAATAAATAGCTAAACATCTGATCACCAGTGACTGATAAAGTTACCACGCTCAAGTGGAAAGAAAGGACTAGCAGAGTTACAGGTTAGAGAAACAGGTAAAGGTTACCAGGGGCAGTGTTAATAGTTGCATTCCACGTTAAGTTTCGTCTCTTAAGGACAGTTCCAAACTATTCTGTGTTTTGGTTGGGCCAGGCACGGTGGCTCACGCCTGTAATCCCAGCATTTTGGGAGGCTGAGGTGGGCAGATCAGAAGTTCAAGACCAACCTGGGTAATACGGTGAAACCCCATCTCTACTAAAAATACAAAAATTAGCTGGGTGTGGTGGCGTGTGCTTGTAGTCCCAGTTACTCAGGAGACTGAGACAGAAGAATCGCTTGAGCCCACGAGGTGGAGGTTTCAGTAAGCTGAGATTGCGCTCCACTGCTCTCCACCCTGGGCAGCAAAGCAAGACTCCGTCTCAAAACAAAAAAAAAGTGTATTGTTTGGGGTGGGGATGGTGGTTCACTTAATAAAATTGCCATTTAAAGAACACAATGCAGTGTTGAGAACAACATGTGGGTCAAGAGATGGTGAGGCTTGTTGGAGTGGCTCATGAGAAATGGACTGCAACATTAAGGTGGGGATGGGGTGGCGGTGGTGAATGTATTGTATAGATTCCCTGTCTCACTGGACACTACTCAGTATCCTTTGCCGATTTCTCCAGGCATTGGATGTCAGATTAATCTCTAGCTAAAATATTCCCTGGGTAATCTCATCTAGTCCCATGATTTTGAAGATCAACAGCGTTTTAGTCCTAAATATTTCTAGGTCCCAAACCTCTCAAAACTCATATTTACCATCTTGATAGGAATTTCTCAATATTCCAAGTCAACTTGATTACCCAACACCAGTTCTTCATTTGTCCAATTGCTCAAAGTAGATGTTTTGGGTGCCATCTTCAATTTACTTTTGTATCCTATAGCCTTAAGTTGAGTCCATGTGCTTCCAACTTGAATCTCCAGTCATTTAATACTGTTAACCACTACCACGACTACGATTCTAGCACAGGTGACTAAAATAGGTTATAATTGTGGCCCTTGTTTCTACCTTTGCCTTCCTGTGGTTTAATTTTTGCATAACCAAATAAGCCTTTTAAGAGGGCAAAGCAGATTTTCTCATTTCTCTGTTCCCCACAAACTCCAGCGGTTTCTCATCATACTAGAATTAAATTCTGAATGTGGTCCTCATGCCATACTTTTATCTGGCCTGCCTTACTGTTACTTCACTTGCCCACTGCTTCGGCCACACTGACTGCTTTGCCAGGATTTTTTTTCCCCTCTTGGAGCTTTTGTATGTAAATCTTAAGGCATGGGAAAGCTTTTCGCTCAGATATTCTCAGGGCTCATTCTAAATTTCGGGTCTTCGCTCTAACCAGTGTCACTCCCTCAGAGGCCTTAGGTGTTCGCTTCTGAAATAGTGTACCCTTAGTCACTTTACTCACTGGATACTTTTGCTTAACAGCATATAAAACTTAAAACTAGAATTAACCACGAGGGCCAGGAACATTTTGGTCACTATCCCTTGTGAGCAGACTAGTGTATGGCATATTGAAATTTTGCTGAATTAGAAAAGAATTTGGTGATGGATGTTGGACTAAATGGGTGGTGCTGCTGATACTAAAACTGGTAGTGTCTATCTGGGGAAGGGGTTTGGGTTCAGACATTTGCGGTATCCAGGAGGAAACATCAAGCAGCTGATAATGTTTTCTGAAGTTCAGCGATCTGCCCCGAAGTCAAGAATGCAAAACTATGTATAGGTAGCCCTTGCAGTCATGTTCTTGGAGGAGTTCAACTGGAATCCCTGGGGGAGTAACTTCATTTGACGACCATACACAGGCTTATTTAAGGGAGCCTGCAAAGTACAGCGGCCGCAGTCATGAGTAGATTCCAGGATTCCCATCTGTAAGATCAGAACGGTGGGGGTGGAGAGCCCAGCGAGACCAATAAAATAGGGCTGTTAGCCGAGTTTCCTCAACTCAACGGGGATCGGTTCAGTTGAACACAGATTCCTGGATCCGTCGCGTCTCGCGTATCCAGGCTAACGCTGAAAACCCTGGACCTACATGGGCAGACTCGGGGTGCGAACTTCTATTTTTCCCTTCTTAGCCAAGGTACCTTAGTTCGGATATAAACAGTGAAGGGAGGCAAACAGCACCCATCACCGCGGCTTCGGCGAGCAGTGAGACTAAAACGTGCAACTGCGCTGGACGTCTAGGCCGCAGCTCCGCCTCTGGAGCCTTACGTCATTACGCAGCGACAGCGATGAGGATGGTCCCTTCTCGCTCGCCGTCGCCGGCGACTTTAATGCGCTTGCGCACGTGGTACCTACTAGTGCCAGAGGACGCATGCTGCCAAGCGAGGCTAACTCCGAGAGCTGGCTACCAGGCATCCACTAGGGGCAGTCAGCTGTGCCTTGTCTTTCGGATTTGTTCCGTGCTCCCACGTGCTTCCGCTTCTCCACTGGCTGGGATCCCGCAGGGTCCGGGCGCAGGTACCAAACGCGGGAGGGCCGGGTATGGATGCCGATATTGGCATCTGTCTTCTTTTTGGACCAAGAGGGGACCGGCCTGAGGATGAAGGCTCTGCATCCGGATAGATAACTGGCCTACCCCTACTGCCCTCCACCCCTGTTTTGGTGCGCTGCTAGATAACAGAATCACCTCTCCCAAACGCAGCCGTTCTCGGCGCGTGCTTCTCGAGCGTCCTCGGGGGTTGCGTGGCTTGATACCCACCCTCTTAAGTGCCTGTAACTGGGGAGTCGGGGTGAATGGGTGGGTGACAACACTTGCTTTCCGTGGAGCTTGCCCGCAGTGCCTGGTTGCAGCTCTGGGCTTTGAACTGAGGTAATGTGATGCCAGATCCTTCTGCGTTGTGAAATGCTTCACTGTGCGCATTCCTTTATACTTTTTTTTTAAAAAATCAGGAGTCACATCATTCAGGACTTGGTTTTGTTTGCCAATGCACCTAAAGTGGTGCCTGGCACATAGATGTTAGGTGTAGATAAATGAAGGAGTGAGTGAAAAATAATCTCCTTCAAGGCCTTCCCCTCCAGGCCTTCCATGACAACTTCAGCCCATAGTAATCTCAGCCCTTCCTTCATTTGACCCCTCACTGTAGTTATTATTTTTACATCTAATTTATCTGTGTTCTTGTTCCTCATCTCATTCCCTTAAATATCTTCTTCAAGAAAAATGCAAGCTTGAAGTAATGGGCCTTCTGGTATTACTTCTGGGGGTCCCACAGTAGCTAGAGCAAAAGGCAGCCCCCATTAAAATTGGTTGTTGATTGATTTTGCGGAATCTTTATGTGGCAGGCAACACAAGGTTTACAAGTTGAGAAGATTGGTGAACTGGGAAGAGCTCAGGCTCTGGAGTCAGGAAGACTGGAGTGTGAATTCTGTCTCTGTCGTTTTTCTGCCTCGGGTTACTTGAATTCTTTATACTTTCTCCTTTATTTGTAAATTGGGGTCCTTGATAGTGACTTAGTGTGTTATAGTATGACATATACTAAAATCTTTGATTGGATTGGGAGGTTAGAAGGGACAGTTAATGTTCAGTAAATGAGCTTTGTGTTTAGAATGCAGTAGGTACTGGAGTTTCTAAGTTTCATATTACTTTTACATTGTAGTAATATAAGTGATATTTCTGATGGTTTATTGATGTATTGTGATGATACAATATTTTACTGTAGGTAATCACAGAACTTTTTTTTTTTTTTTTTTTTTTTTTAGACAAGAGTCTTGCTCTGTCATCTAGGCTGGGATGCAACAGCACAATCTCAGCTCACTGCATCTTAACGCCTCTCCAGTTCGAGTGATTCTCTTGCCTTAGCCTCTCCTGTAGCTGGGACTGCAGGCGCCCACCAACACTCCCGACTAAGTTTTGTATTTTTAGTAGAGATGGGGTTTCGCCATGTTGGCTAGGCTGGTCTCGAATTCCTTACCTCAGATGATCCGCCCATCTCAGCCTCCCAAAGTGCTGGGATTACAGGTGTGAGCCACCACGCCAGGGGAGAACTTTTCAGGTCTGCCTGTACAAAGGCTTCAGTATAGTTTTCCCTAACATGAGGAAACAGTTGGACACATTACATCATGGAATTATTCATTGATATTTATTGACTTTGTTTACTTGACTTTATTAGTAAAGTGAATTTTTTAAGACTCCTCAAAAACAAAAGAACAAGGTAAAAGTCCCACCATCCAGAAATAGCTATTTTACACTTTGGTATTTTTTTCCAGTCTTTTATGTGTATGTATAAGAAATGGCATCATACTTTATTTTGTCTTGGTCCTGTCATAAACATCTGTATCCATATCCTCAGTTATTAAAAATGCTTGGCCAGGTGCGGTGGCTCACACCTATAACCCCGGCACTTTGGGATGCTGAAGCGGGCAGATCATGAGGTCAAGAGATCAAGACCATCCTGGCCAACATGGTGAAACCCCGTCTGTACTAAAAATATGAAAAATTAGCTGGGCATGGTGGCTTGCACCTGAACTACTCGAGAGGCTGAGGTGGGTGGATCACTTGAACCCGGGAGGCAGAGGTTTCAGTGAGCTGAGATTGCGCTGCTGCACTCCAGCCTGGTGACAGAGCAAGACTTTGTCTCAAAAACAGACAAACGAAAGTGCTTTGGATATTTGGTTATGCCATTATTTATTTTAGTCATTCTACTTTTTTGAATATTTAAGTTTCTGACTTAAAACACTTTTTTTCTAATAGAGTTGAATTGCAGGCTTCCCAGGCTGAGGAAAGATTTTTCTCACTTCCCAAGCCCAAGGTTTTCTAAGTTTAAAACTAGAGGCTGATCTCTTCCCTATGGAGCTCTTTGAGGGTTAAGTAAGACAATGCTTATGAATATGCCTAGCACAGCCCCTGGCCCCACAAGAGGCAGCCAGCTAATGTTCCTTAGACATAATCTAGTGCACATGGTCAGTTGTATTTCTCTCTCTTTTAGTAATATTTGTTCACCATGCATCGGAAAAAGGTGGATAACCGAATCCGGATTCTCATTGAGAATGGGGTAGCTGAGCGGCAAAGATCTCTCTTTGTTGTAGTCGGGGATCGAGGAAAAGATCAGGTATGACCTGGCAAATGCTTCCTGAATTACTTTTTATCTTGTCTAGAGAGTCAGCATATTTAAGCACCCCGGGGTTTCAGGACATAATGGCATTAAGACCTCTGGCTGGTAAGATGCCTAGTGGGAACCTTTCTTTATTTCCTGGAAGTGGCGAATTCTCTGTATTTAGACTTATTAGCAATTTGTTAGCAGACAAGCTAATACCTTTTGAAGCCCGGGATGGTGGGTTGACCACCAGGTTAACTGTCTGTGACCTGGCTTCTAGTCCTGGCTCTCAATTTAGTTTCCACATCTGTCAAATGAGGTCTTAGGTCTGGCAGTCTCTAAAGTCTCTTTTGTGTCTGAAATTCTGTGACTTTTTTGTTTGACAGGTTGTAATACTTCATCATATGTTATCCAAAGCAACTGTGAAGGCTCGGCCTTCAGTGCTATGGTGTTACAAGAAAGAGCTGGGGTTTAGCAGGTAAGCTGGGCTCTTCATGTGTTTTATCCAGCTCACAATTCCTGCTCATTAAATGCCAGGAAATGATTCCTTGACATATTTCTTATGGGTCTTTAGTGGAGCTGCTATCTCTGAGGACATATGGAGTTGATAACCTTTCTTCATTCCTGAAAATAAGTTTCAGATCATTTTCATGCTTTTTAAGTCACCAGTCCAATGCCTTGCCTTTGGCATATGGTTTTCCTTCCTGCTTTTCTAGTCTGATTAAGCCCATCTCATGCAAGTTCCTTCAAATTGTCTTTCCTACCTCAAATTTATTCCACCTTTTCATTATCTCTTTTTTACTTCCCATCCTTCATGGAGGGGATGTGCCTCATCCCATGTCCAAGGAAAACCCCTTTATGTAGCTGTATCTCCCCGCCCCACCTCTTTCTGGACCTTTTGTCTTTGCTTTACTGGCCACTCCATACCCTTTGGGAACTTTCTCCTTCCTGTAAACATGCCCAGATTTTTCTATGATCAAAAGCTGATTAGATGCATACCCAGATTTCTCTCTCAGGTTAGCATTTTCCCCCATTTTTATTGCCATACACTCTAAAACAGAAATCTTTGCACTTAGTAGCCACTTTTGCAATCTGGTTTCTGCTTCTGTAATGGCGATCAAATTGTGCCGTTAGATATCCCTAGCATCTTGTTGCCTAATGAATCAACTTTTCTCTCTCTCTCTCCCCTCTTCAGAGCTCTGCCTCATCTCCCAGTTCACTGCTATATTTGACAGTTGGCTGTTTGAAGCTGTGGCAGTCAAGACTTTTAGTCATAGATAACGAAGTTCCAATACAAACACAATTTGGCACAAAGGGATTCCATTGAAGTATATGGGGTATTTCCTGGAATCCAAGGGGATAAGATTTCAGTCCTGCTCACGGGTGTTGTAGAGCCAGAGCGCTAATGCTCCCAGCTTAATTTGTCATCTCGGCATATCTGCTCTGTGTAGACCAGCTTTCTCACTGCAGATCTGCTTTCCGTTTTCTGTTGTCCCCCTAGCAGAAACAACACTTGCATTTTCCATGTTTCAGGCCCATCCATGAGGAAGTCAGACTTTTCCCCAGAATTCTAGTGGAAAGATGCCCAACCCTGGCCAGAGGAGGGTAGGGTTTGTCATACTATAGTAGGAAGTTGGAAGTTCTGCCTGTAGCTTTGCGTTTGGAGAAGTCTGGGGTGGGTTGGGGAGTGATGTTCCCTGGGAGTGACCCACTGTAGCATCACCTCAGAAACAGTCTCCCTTCTTGGCCTCAGTGTCTTTACTCAGACCACCTTCCTGAGCTCTTCTTTTTCCCTGGATCTTGTCACCTTACTCTAAACCTAGCTGGCAATGTGATTCTATCCTTGGGCCTCTTCTGATTTCCAAATGTGCTCGTCTCTGATCTGACTCTGAAAGCCTGTCTCCAGCTCTGGCTGCTTTATGCTGTAAGTAACCTCCTTGCTTCTGTTTGCTCATGTTGTCTCCTCTGCTTGGAATGCCAATTCCACCTCTCTGATATCACCTATTGAAATTCTCCCCGTTTTTCAGGGCCTGCCTCCTCCATGAAACTTTTCCCGAGCCCCCAGTCATACCTGATGGTTCCTCTACCTTCCTCTGCGCTTGTCCTTCTCCTGTAATGCTTGTCACCAGATGCTGTTGTTTTGGGGTAGCGTCACTTCGTACTGTGACTTATGTTCTTTTTTTTTTTTTTTTTTAAACTTTCAGGTGATAAGCTCATTCAGATTGGAGCCCTCTCCTATTTATCTTTGTATTTTCCTATTTTCAGCTGATTTAGCATGTTGTCATAGGTACTCAGTGTATGTTGAGTTGGGTGTATTGTTAACAGCTCTAAAATTATTTTAATTTAAATTAGTACCAGAGGCTAAACTCTTCCTTGTCCTTTGGGCTTAAAGGAAAGGGATTCTGCCTAAAAGAAACCAGACAGTTAGAGCCTTACTGTCGAAATGTGCGAAGTGCAGAAAACCCAAAGAGGAAAATAAAAAGCATCTTGCCGTCTAGGCATTGTCAGCATCTAGGTGTATGTTACTGGTCTAGTTTTGAACCATAATTGGTATTCTGTTATATGTACATTCATAATTAGAGAGGTAGGCATTTTTAATACAGATTGAGAATAAGGCCTGTTGCCTATCCCAGAATTTTAAGTTTTTAGGCCTTCTGGTTTTCAATATTTTTCATTAGACAAATGTGAGATGGATGTGGAATTAGGCAGTTCAAAGTCTTCCGGGAAGATTTGCCTTTTGAATTTAAACCACCTGGATTTACTTCTAAAAATCTAGTTTTGTTCCTCTATGAGCTGTGAGCTCTTCTGCCCCACCCCTGTCTTCATCTGGCAGAGCATTGTGTTCAAGCTAATGCCTGCTCGTAAGTCATGGGCTTAAGGCCTGAACCAGAAAGGACAGTGGAGATAAACTCAGCCACTGCCTTGGTTCATAGATGAGAAAGTGGAGGCCCGCAGGAGGATGGGCCTTTGTTCTAGCTTTTAAGTTAAAAGAACTACGGTAAAGGTAGCATTTTGATCAGCTGTAATCCTCCATTCTAAAACATTCTAATACTCTGTTTTGTTAAAGGAAAGGTAAATAGCAGCTGGATGTTCAGGGTTTTTAAGACCAAACGAAAATTCAGGGATTCCTTAGAGACGTCCAGATTCCATTCTAATCCCTTGTCCTGTATCATTATTATCTTACGTGAGACCTGCCCTTGAAGACATAATGCCACCTTCTCGGGGAGGAAGTCATCTGGGAAGGATGAATAAAGTAACATGCCATCACCTCGTCTTTCCCAGGATCTCTGGGACACAGCACAGTGTAGTTGAAGCATTGGCTTATGACTGAGGTAATGAGGCCACTCAGGTTTGGTTTCAAGCTCTGGCTTTGGCCAAATGTGAGGGTTAGCTACCCTATTACCCATCTTTTAAAGAAAAGTATTTGTTGAAGGTCACAGCAAAATAGCAGTGTTCACACATGGACTTACCACTCTTTTTTTAAAAAATTTTTTTTGTGTTCTTATTAGAGACAGGACTTCACTATATGTTGGCCAGGCTGGTCTTGAACTTCTGACCTTGTGATCTGCCAGCCTTTGCCTCCTCCAGTGCTGGGATTACAGGCGTAAACCACTGCGCCCAGCTGATTTATCATGCTTACTCCAAGCCCTTAAGCCAGGCATCCCCAAACTTTTTACACGGGGGGCCAGTTCACTGTCCCTCAGACCATTGGAGGGCTGCCACATACTGTGCTCCTCTCACTGACCACCAATGAAAGAGGTGCCCCTTCCTGAAGTGCAGCGGGTTGGGGGAGGGGTGCGGATAAATGGCCTCAGGGGGCCGCATGCGCCGCCCGAGGGCCGTACCTGCCTTAAGCACTCTAATGCCTCTCTACTGCCTTCCACCTGAAATTGGCCTCACACTTTCAAGTTCCCTACTAGCTCTGAAGGTCTATGTGGGTGATCACTGAACCTGTCCCTGGTTCCAGCTCTTTAGCTTCTCTGGTTAACTGGCTCTCATGGGATTGGGGGCATGTGATTACAGTCACCGGAAGAAAAGAATGCGACAGCTGCAGAAGAAAATAAAGAATGGAACATTGAATGTGAAGCAGGATGACCCCTTTGAACTCTTCATAGCAGCCACAAACATTCGCTACTGCTACTACAATGAGACCCACAAGATCCTGGGCAATACCTTTGGCATGTGTGTGCTGCAGGTGGGTGGCTTCCTCTAGCCTGTGATTGAAGTCAGAGTCTTGAGGGTTGCATGGGCTGCCTGGCTTTCCACTGGGAACAAGCATACAGTAAGGAGAGAAAAGTCCCGTGTTCCCTGTCCCCAAGCATTATTAGTGGAAGTCCTGGCCACTTTCCAAAGTACATTTAATCACCTACCCCATATAAAGAGAGAATTTTCTACTGAAATCAGCACTTGTCTAGAGACACCAGAACTGAAGCGATGCTGTGTTATAACTGGTTCTAACTAGCTAAAGCTGATTAAAGCAAATGCCAGAGACTTGAGTGCCTCTAGGACCCCGTGTCCTTTTTGGCATTCATTGAAGACTTTCTTGTCCAGTGAGCAGTGGGACTTGTTTTCCAACTGGGTACAGACCAATGCACTTAAATGTTCTGTCCAGAGTACCTGAGTATCATACCCACCATGAAAGCCCCTCTACCCCTTTCTAGCCCTTTAGTCCTTAAACACCCCTCACTTTACCTCTCAGAGACTACTTGGCGGATTTCTGCACCAGTGTGTATTCTCTTGCCTGGCAAGTTAATAGACTAAGTTTCACTGTGTGTGTGTGTGTGTGTGTGTGTGGTTGTGTGTGTGTGTGTGTGTGTGTGTGTATGTGTGTGTGTGTAAGCTCTGTGGTCTTTGTTTTATTCTTTGTTTCTTTGACTCCTCTGCCACCTCCCTACCCCATCCTCCCAAAAAAAGACAAGACAAAATTAAGCACAAATCCCCACATTTTTGTGTGTTTATCATATATACCTACGACTGTTTCTCGTATCATATACACCCATTATTATGTCAAGTTACATACCTTGCAAAATATGGGTTGTCTCCTTTATTGCTGGCTTGCATCCCACCTTGGAGACCAAAAAAGAGCATTTTGCCTCATTTTCAGCTTTACTGTGGGGAATGCCCTGGGTGATCACTGATTGGTAGGGAGTGGTCTGCTTGCTACCTTGGTTAGTTTCCTGAATAATGACTCCTGTGAGCAGTAGCTACCCGATGTGGTATAGTTTTGTCAAACAAGTTTGAGCTATAAATGCCAGAAAACGATTGTAAGAAGTTTCTGAAATTCAAGTATGAATCAATGAAGGTTGGAAAATCTGTTTCCAAATAGGATTTTATCAGAGACATTTTGACATATAAAACTAATAATGTCTCACATATATTTTTTTATTTTTGGCATATAAAACCAGGTATTTGTATATTCGAGGGCTGGGCCCTCATCTGTGGTACCCCCTACGTGTGTATCCTGAGAGTCAAGGTGAGAATGGTCTTGGCTTTGTGCTCTGAAGTCCTATTTTTGCCTTATCACTTGGCTTTTGGTTAAGAGTCCCTTCGGTTGGGCCAGGCGCGGTGGCTCATGCCTATAAAATAGCACTTTGGGAGGCCTGGGTGGGTGGTGAGCCAAGATTGTGCCACTGCACTCTAGCCTGGGCAACAGAGCGAGACTCCATCTCAAGAAAAAAAAAAAGTTCCTTGGTTTGCTATTTGAATGACCAGCCCTTTCTAAAGTCCCTTTCTTCCAGGATTTTGAAGCCTTAACTCCAAACTTGCTGGCCAGGACTGTAGAAACAGTGGAAGGTGGTGGGCTGGTGGTCATCCTCCTACGGACCATGAACTCACTCAAGCAATTGTACACAATGACCATGGTAAGCATCTGTCTTTTAACTTAATTTTGAAGGTTCAAGTAAGTCTGTTTTTGCCGTGTTCCGCTTTCTTTGAAGAATTCCTGTTGTGCAGCTCCAGTGAGCAGTCAGCACAGCCTCTGGGCTAAGAGCTCTTTGAAGAAGTCACTGCAGTTAAATCTCAGGGTCCCTGAGTGTGCCTAGGCATCTCTGAATTTTGTTTTCAGGCACTTGCAAATTCTACACCAGTGAGACTCAGATATGATGCAGCTTTTATGTAGTTAAATGTTCTGGAATGATACTGTGCAAGGAGCAGTGCCAGTACCTAAATTTGTGTATTGCAAAAACAGAACCATGTGCAGACTCCTCTGGCCCTCATCCTAATGGATGACTAAGGAACATTTGCTAGTTGTACCCCGAGTTTGGCAAGAATTTCAACTCCAGCAGAGACTGTGTTCTCCCAAAGCAAAAGACATTGAGGACGTGGTGAAGGGTTAGGGATATGTCTCACCTGATGCAGAGCTGGTCTCACTCCGTCAGTGTTGCGAAGTCCACATTCAGAGGCAAATTTTTTAGTCACGCCTGTGCCCAGCAGCTCAGGAATGGTGGTTGGATTGGACTTAGGGTTTCTTGAGCTGCATTTATCTGATGAAATGGACTTTCCTCAAATCTTAGGGGCTGCTTCCTGTCCTTTCTACTCCCATTATCACTTGCACTACAGCCCTTTTGGCCTCCTGGAAAGTCCTCAGACATGCCCAGCACACACTCGGGCGAGGGCATTGGCAGTTCGTGTTCCCACTGGAATGTGCTTCCTCTGGGCCTCTGCCTGGCTCACGTCCTCATTGCATTCAAGTCCCTGCTCAGATAACGCCTCATCTGTGTGATCTTTCCTCACACCCCATTTACAGTAGGCGGCCGTGTCTATCACTCCCGAACCAGCTTTATTTTTCTTCAAAGCAATTGACAGTTATCTAAAGTTATTATTTTTTGTCTGTCCTCCTGTACTAGTCTCTAAATTTCATTGGCGGGCGAGGTGCAGTGGCTCCACTCCTGTAATCCCAGGACTTTGGGAGGCTGAGGTGGGCAGATCACCTGAGAACAGGAGTTTGAGACCAGCCTGGTCAACATGGTGAAACCCCATTTCTACTACAAATACAAACAAAAAATTAGCCAGGTATGGTGGCGCATACCTGTAATTCCAGCTATTAGGGAGGCTGAGGCAGGAAAATCGCTTGAGCTTGGGAGGCAGAGTTTGCAGTGAGCTGAGATTGCACATGTGTACTCCAGCCTGGGCGACAGAGTGAGACTCCATCTCAAAAAATAAAAATAAATAAATTTCACTGAAACAGAGAGTTTTCCTTGCTGTTGCGTTCCCAGATCTTAGAAGAGTGCCTGGCATTTAGTAAGCTTTCCTTAGATGTTTGAGAGTGAATGAATGACTTTGTGCTCACATCAGTTTGTTCTTCTGCTCCCTCTTACATGGCTACCTACTTATCCTTCAGGTCTCAGCTTATCATCTCAGGCCTTTGCTCACTACCCTACATAAGTGACCCCCACTTGCTGTCTGTGTACTCTATATTTCATATGTAGCATTTGCCAAAATTTGTATTTATCTACTTGTTTTTCTTCCTCCACCCATGACACTCCAAGCACCATGAGAACAGAGGTCATGCTTTGTTCACTAGTGTATGTACACAGCATGTCTGGCACACAGCATGTCAATTTTATGAAATAAATGAATACAACTTAGGATGCTAGAAAAAACGTGGAAAAGTAAAAGATTTTAATAAGAATTGTTGCATTCAGTGTCTGATCCCAGCTTCAGCAAATACCATGTGGCACAGCAGGTTATGTAGGAGCGATTTTGTTTCCAGCAAGGTTGCCAGTGTCTCCTTTGAGAGAGCTTTGTATGTGGACCCTGGTCCTCAGCTCTGTGTGCATGCCTTTGCTAATGGATGTTGTCTTTCTTTGTTAGGACGTGCATTCCAGGTACAGAACTGAGGCCCATCAGGATGTGGTGGGAAGATTTAATGAAAGGTAAGTCTATAGTTCCTCCCAATTGTGGGGCAGCCACATTGGGAGGGATATTTTTATGTTGGACTCAACTGAAAGCTTTGCTTTTATACTGGGGAAAGTAGTACAAGATTCCAAAAATGATGAGATTATTGACAGCAGCAGTAGTTGTGAAACTAGCTGGAAGCAGTAAAACGTAGTAGAAAGTTGGAGCTAGGAAAGCTCACTTTGTCTTTGCTAGCCCTGACAGTTCAGTTAAACCAGGTTACTCTCTCTGGCTCTTAGCTTATTCATCTTTTAAAGGAGTGATTTTTCTGGATCACTGTTTCTCAGAGATACTTCATAGAACACTAGTCTTTCCAAACTTTTTGTAGTGAATATGACATGTTGGGATAGTAAAAATGATGATTAAGAGAAATATGGGAGGAGTGAGATGTAATTAGAGGCAGAAAAAGGCGACAAAATGTTTCTTGCAAGCAAAGGAACACCCATAATTTCAAATACGGAAATTTTATTTGTTATCCAAAATTAAATATTTATTTATTTTTATTTTTATTTTGTTTTATTTTTTTGAGACAGAGTCTCGCTCTGTCACCCAGGCTGGAGCATAGTGGCATAATCTTGGCTCACTGCAACCTTCACCTCCTGGGTCAAGTGATTATTTTGCATCAGCCTCCTGAATAGCTGGGATTATAGGCACCTGCCACTGCATTCAGCTCGTTCGGCTCATTTTTTGCATTATTTATTTATTATTTTTTTTGAGATGGAGTCTTGCTCTGTTGCCCAGGCTGGAGTATAGTGGCACAATCTTGACCCGCTGCAACCTTCGTCTCCTGGGTTCAAGTGATTCTTATCCCTCAGCCTCCCGAGTAGCTGGGATAAATAGGAGTGTACTACCATGCCCAGCTAATTTTTATATTTTTAACAGAGACGAGGTTTTACCATGTTGGCTAGGCTGGTCCTGAACTTCTGACCTCAAGTGATCTGCCCGCCTCAGCCTCCCAAAGTGCTGGGATTACAGATGTGAGCCATCGTGCCTGGCCATTTTTTGTATTTTTAGTAGAGGTGGCGTTTCACCATGTTGGCCAAGCTGGTGTCGACTAGCTGCTGACCTCAAGTGATTCACTCACTTTGGCCTCCCAAAGTGCTGGGATTACAGTCGTGAGCCACCGTGCCTGGCGGTAGAATGCTAGTCTTTTAAGAGGGGACCATATGAGAAGGGTTTGGCCATGTATGTCTGGGAAGCACTGATACTGTTTTTCCTTTATGAAGATTTACCCCGGTCTGTTGTAATCTCTGAAAAGTCTTGCAGCAACAGGGACCTGTTTAACTGATTGTTTGTTTGCCAAATTTATTTTACCACAGTCTTTTCGGGGTGGGCGGGGCGGGGGGTGGGGGAACACCAGTTAGCACCATGTGAAACGCCATGAGAAATTTTGACCTAAATCAGTGGTTCTCATCTGGAGCTGTTTGGCCCCCTGGGGACATTTGGCAATGTCTGGAAATGTTTTGATTGCCATGACTTTGGGGCTGGTGGTGGTGGGTGCCGTGGGCATCTAGTGGGTAGAGGCGCGTATGCTGTTGAACAACCAGTGGTGTACAGGACGGCTCCACCCCAAAGAATTATCTGGTCCAAAATCTCAGTAGTGCTGAGGCGTAGAAATCTGGGTCTTGATGAACCCTGGGGGCCTCTCTCATTTTAACCCTCTGTGATGTTCTAACTTGGAGGACTGAGCAGAGCAGGAGGAGCAGCTGTGTGCTACTGAATAGAACAGACGCCTGTGAAATCTTTTTCGTGCAGTGAGAGGATGTTTGAATTTTGTAGTCAAACATTTTTTCTTGCATTCAAGAACATTTGTATTATATTTCTTTGGGGAACCTTCTTGCCCCCTTCTTCCTTTTATATCTTTCTTTTTCCTAGTGACAGCAGGTGATTTCATTTGTGTTTTTTCCCTGTGTGACTGGTGATCATATGGGGGTGGGGTTTGGAATTCCTCATTTAAGGATGGCCTGAAACACCTCAGTGCTAAAGAGCAAGGCTGGGAGGATGAGGGGAAGGCCACGTGGTTTAGGGAATAGTGGCAGTCACGTGGAACAGGAGGGCTTATCATTGATCTCCTGGGACGAGTCCTCGGGTTTTCTGATTTGCTGTATAAAGCATGTTCAGGTGCCTTGTGGAGAAGGTGTTGAATCATCTCACACTGCTGTCCAACTGGGTTTTGGCTTTTTCTGGCTTTCTTAGAAACCCTTGGGGCCAAATGATTTTTTTTGAAGAAAAGTTATACTCTGTGTAGACATTGCGTGCCCTCCTCAACACGTCATTGCAGTGGTTTTGTTTTTCAGGTTTATTCTCTCTCTGGCCTCTTGTAAGAAGTGTCTCGTCATTGATGACCAGCTCAACATCCTGCCCATCTCCTCCCACATTGCCACCATTGAGGCCCTGCCTCCGCAGACTCCGGTGAGTCTGTGCTGGGCTCCAGGAGTCTGGGGGAGGTTTCATTTTCATTTATTTATTTGTTTTAGAGACGGGGTTTCACTGTCTTGGTCAGGCTGGTCTTTGAATTCCTGACCTCGTTATCCACTCACCTCGGCCTCCCAAAGTGCTGGGATTATAGGCGTGAGCCACCACACCTGGCCTGGAAGCTGTGTGTTCTATGTTGATCCTCCTGTGGCAGTGACAGACCTTCCCCTTCTCTCTCTGGTAGGATGAGAGTCTTGGTCCTTCTGATCTGGAGCTGAAGGAGTTGAAGGAGAGCTTACAGGACACCCAGCCTGTGGGTGTATTGGTGGACTGCTGTAAGACCCTCGACCAGGTGAGTGTGGTGTGCAGAACTTCCAACGTAAAGATACAATACAGCATATGGAGTGCAACAGAAACCAACGTACATTGACTCGAGACCTGGACCCTCCCTGGAGAAGGGGGCTTTTTCCTTTGCTCATACTCATGTGTGCTCAGCAACAGTAGGGCTATTTCACATTTTCTGGGTACACAAAAGAAGTCTAGGGATTGCTTCCCCCTAATCAGGGGACAGATGAAGCAAATGAATTATTATTAGTATTATTTTTTTAAGAGACAGAGTCTCGTTCTGTCACACAGGCTGGAGTGCAGTGGTGTGATTGAGTTACAGTGCTCACTGTAACTTCGAACTCCTGGCCTCAAGCAGTCCTCCTGCCTCAACCTCCTAAGGTACTAAGATTACAGGCATGATCCACTGCGTCTGCACAGATTACACTGAAAAGGGAATCCCCTCAGCACTTTTTTCCAAGAGAGGGCAATATACCTACGTTCTTCAATTTCAGCTAAGTTTTGATGATATAAAGGTTTTTGATTACAGCGTATTAAGAAGTGAGAGGAGAACTTGAGGCCCTAGTCTAGGACTTAGCCTGGTTGCAGTGTGAGGCCTGATGAGGGCCTTCTGGGGTGATATGTACCTGGTCTTCGAAGCAAGCAGCAGGCTGGGGAGAGCTGCCAGGATGCATTTCTGTGCTCACCTAGGTGGCCAGCGCTGGTAAACTTGGCTTCTCTGGTGGTTTCTGGGTCGTGGTGGGAACTGATTGGGCACAGCCCAGAGGTTTTGAGTTGGGTGTTTTCAGGGTTATAGGTCAGCCTGAGCCAAATGAGCAGCATGGGTCTCTGCCCTCGAGAGGGAAGACAGCTGCAGTGACACTTCCCACTTGGGGCTGAGTCCCAGCAGGCTGGCTTCCCTTTTCATTCTGGAAATAGAATCAGCAGCTACATAGCTCTCTATGCAGCCCAGGCTGCAGGCTGCAGGCTTTTTTGATTCACTTCCTGGTACCCTCTTTATCACAAAAGAGAAGGAGCGAGCGACTGGATGAAGCAGGAGAAACTGATTCTAGTAAGTAGTGTTATAAGAAAACGAATGTCAGCACTCTGGTTAAAAATACAAAGAAAAAAAAGAAGAGTGAAAAAGAAAACAAACGGCCTATGACAAAAAAAAAAAAAAAACAAAAGAAAGTTAATAGAAAAGAGTACATAAAAAAATAAGAAGTGTTTCCACTTGGCAGTTGCACTCTGCCGAAACAACTGCTATTAACAGTTTATTATGTATCCTGCTGCATCTTTTTTCATGCACATAAATGAATAAAATGTGAAGGGATCATACTACAGAGTATAAATAGTCCCCTGTTAGACATTTGGATTGATTCCAGCATTTCCGCTATTAGAAACAATGCTCTGAGGGGATTCTTACAGATATGTTTGGGGGTACTATACTTAGGATACATTTCCAGAAGAGAAATTGCTGAATCAGAGATTGTATGTATTATAATGGGCGTTGTACCAGTTGATGGAACTATCCAGTGTGTGGAAATGCCTTTTTCCAAACTACAGCCTTGCAACTTGTCTTTACCAATCTGATATGAGAACATAGGATGGTTGTTTTCATTTGTGTTGCTGCTTTTTTTTTTTTTTCTTGGTCTCACAACAGAGGCTAGAGTGCAGTGGTGCCATCTCAGCTCAGTGCAACCTCCGCCGCCCGGGTTCAAGCGATTCTCCGGCCCCAGCCTCCCAACTAGCTGGGACTACAGGCATGCGCCACCATGCCCACCTAAGTTTTGTATTTTCAATAGAGACGGCATCTCACCATGTTGGCCAGGATGGTCTCTTTCGATCTCCTGACCTTGTGATCCACCCGCTTTGCTTCCCAAAGTGCTGGGATTACAGGTGTGAGCCAGCACACCTGGCCTTGTGTTGCTTCTTTAGGAGAGAGGAAGGCACCTTCTTCGAACAATTATTGGTCATCTATTGGTGGTGGTGGTGGTGGTAGTGGTTGTACGTGGTTTCTTTTGTTGTTTTTTCTTTTTTAGTGAGCCAGTCTGCTTGCTTATGTCCTCTGCCTACTTTTTAGTTTGATATTGGCCTTTTTTGTGTTGGTTCTTCATTTTAGGATGCATTTTAGTCTAGATTTCATACCTTTCTGTTATGTCTTTAGGTTTCTCGGTTTATAACTTCCATAATCTAAAACAAAAGGGTAAAATATAGCCTTCAGGCAAGGTCAAATTAAGACAACTAGGTCCTGGATCTCCTTTGAGTGTTTTCATCTGGAGAAAATCTGGCTTCCTGAAGCCTCTCCCCTTCCATTTACCTGGGCCTGTGTTTCTTCAGTGTCTTAGCATCACTGCCTAGGCAAGCATGACAACTTCCTCGGGATCATCTGGCCTTCTTCCCACCTTCAAAGACCTATTCCCAGCACAGATCCCAGCTGAAGAGCAAAGTTTGGTCCCTAAGTAGTTAGTGGCTCCTGTCTTTCAGTGTCACTGGCATCTTGCTTTTACTTCTAGGCTGTCCTCTAGGGACTGGGGCCCAGCAGTAAACAAGAGGGATGCACCTGCTTCATGGAGCTTGCCTCACAATGAGATGAGACAGACAGTGGAAAAAGACATGAGCAGATCATTTGGTGAAGCAGAAGGTGCTACATACAATGGGAAAAAAGAAAAAGTGGCAAAGAGGGATAGGACATGCCAGCCTGCGGATGGGGTTCTGTGGTTCTGGGTATAGGGGGCAGGGGTGGCCTCATGTAGAAGGTGATTTTGGAGCCAAGCCATGAAGGAGGTGAAGAAACAAGACCTGTGGCTCTTGGGGAGCCAGTGCTTCAGGCAGAGGAAGCAGCATGTGCATGGGCCTGGGGAGCCCTGGCAGGGAGGTTGAGGGGCTGGAGCAGGGTGAGGGGGTGGAGGAGGAGGTTTTTGGAGGATCTTGCTGACCACTGGCAGGGCTTTGGCACTTACTCTGTAAGACATGGGAGCAGTGAGGCTTTTATGTCCACAGTCTCCTTTCAGCACAGCTGCCAGAGGCATCCCCAAGCTGCTTTTTAAGAGGATCTCCTGGCTACTGTGTTGAATATAGACTGGTGGAGTGAGGGTGGTAGCAGGAAGACTGGGCAGGAGGCTGCTGTCATGATGGAAGAAGGATACGGTGGTGGCTTTGAGCAAAATGGTAGAGGAGGATAGTGGTGTAAGGAATGGTGGATTTTATGTGTGTTTTGGAGGTAATAGGATTTGCTGATAAATCAGTTATCAAGGAGGAATTGAGGAGCCTTTGGCCCAAGCAGTAGAACAGTTAACTGAGATGGGGAAGACTAGGTGGAGGAGGTTTGGGACAACATTAAGCGTTCAGTTTCAGGTTTGAGATGTGTAGTGTACAAGCGGAAATATACGGGAAGCAGTTGCATGTGTATAAAAGTCTGATGTGCAGGGAAGTGGTCCAGACTGAAGCTGTAAATTGGAGTTATCAGCATGTATTGATGATTGGTACTGAAGGCCTTGAGACTGAGATGAGATGACCAAGGGAGTGAGAAGTCCAGGTGCTCAGCAGTGCTTTCTGGCCTGCAAGAACTGCCACCCTTTTATTTAGCCTGGCGCCAACCTCACTTCTCTACAGTGGTGGTGATGAACGGCAGAAACTTGGGCCTTTTTTGGAGTTCGCCTAATAATATGTCTCTCTTTCCACAGGCCAAAGCTGTCTTGAAATTTATCGAGGGCATCTCTGAAAAGACCCTGAGGAGTACTGTTGCACTCACAGCTGCCCGAGGACGGGGAAAATCTGCAGCCCTGGGATTGGCTATTGCTGGGGCGGTGGCATTTGGGTAAGGGGATTCAATCCCCCATCTTTAGAAACTCTGGCTCTGAGGGGGTAGTGTGCAGGGTTCGGGTCAGAGGACTGGGATTTCAGGTTCCTAGTCTGAGTTCTGAGTGGGTTCAGTGTGTGATTTCTCTAGGTCTTGATTTCCGGCCAGGAAACAGCAACACTTGTTTCCCCAGCCCACCCTAAAGGTGCACATTTACTTGTGTGTACACACAGATACGTACATACCAGGGCCTTTGTAATCACTATTTACAGTTGAACAAACATGCAGAAGCAAAGAAGTGGAGGTAAGAAACTTTACAACTCTGAGGGATTGAGAATGTGTTTGACAAGCCTTGCAGACTGAGAAAAATACAAGTTTGACATTTTAATGATTTTGGTTAAGGGAAGCTTTCTTTGGCTTCTGAGTAGCTGGTTTCAGGTGTGATGTTAGTTTCTGTTCTTTTCTATTGGGTATGGGAGATACATGCAACTGCCAGTAGAGTATGTTCTTCCAACTTCTCAGCCATAATAAGGAACCTAGAACTTAACTATGTTCGCCTTTGTGCATTATCTTCCTTGGTGCTCTTTAGAGCTCTGTGGGCATTTTATAGATGAATCAGCCCAGGCTAGGAGAGTTCCAGTGATTTACCCAAGATTCCCCAGCAAGTCAGTGCTGGTAGAGCTGGGGCCTGAGCTCCTGACTCCCTTGTCCTTTGTTCTTTCTGCTGCTATAGCTTTAACAGTCAGCCTCTTGGCCCTTAGCGTCTGCTATTAGCATCCTGTATACTCAGCAAGGATCCCTTGGAGGTTAGCTTTGGCCTTGGCCTAAGCACAGATTGAGCTTTCCAGCTTCACCGTTTGAAAGCCTCAGCACAGCTCACGATGAGTATGAAAGTACTTCTTAGAGCAGGGCACTGGACTGGGGAGCAGTCTGTTGTGCACACTGAGAGGGTTGTCCCCATAGTGCTTCTAAGCAGTTTGCTTTCACAGATGTTGGTAGCTAAATGTCTGGAGTTACTTTAGTTTCCTTCCCAAAAGGTATCCTGACATGTTCCCCTGCTGTTACCTCTGGTTATCACCTTCGGGATAGGAGCAAACAAAATGTTTCCTTTTTAAAATTATTTCTTTAAAATGTCCCTAATTTCTTAAAAATCCTCCTTTTATTTTGTTCTGTAGGTACTCCAATATCTTTGTTACCTCCCCAAGCCCTGATAACCTCCATACTCTGTTTGAATTTGTATTTAAAGGATTTGATGCTTTGCAATATCAGGTAGGAAATCTGGTTAAGAATTTTTATTTTGATACAGTGCTGGGTTTAAATCCAAGGGAAGTCTTAAGAATGCTTGCTTACTTTCATAATATTTAGTTTCCAAAACTTGTTTCTAAAGTTTGTCATTGGTTTGACTTTCCCCACCAGGAACATCTGGATTATGAGATTATCCAGTCTCTAAATCCTGAATTTAACAAAGCAGTGATCAGAGTGAACGTATTTCGAGAACACAGGCAGACTATTCAGGTGAGGCTTGTTCTCAGACCCTGATGTGCAGGACCAGGGTCTTGCTGTGTTTAATGCGCTGAGACGCTGCCTGTTACAGACATGTATGTCTTGTGTAATCGCATGTCTTTTAGACAATGGCGGTATTGTATGCTAAACCTGTTCTAGATTTTCAGCCTCTTCTAAAGAAGAACATTCAGGCAAACTAACAAATATATGTAGTTAGATTGAAAACTTGTGTTTTTGTCCTTTGAATATGGATTAAGTGGGATAGAAGGTATGCTGATTAGCTAAAAGAGAATCTTTGTTCTGACATCAGTTCTAACTTGGCTTAGTTACTGCAGTTTTTGAAATGTTGCATCTGTAACTAGAACAATAACCTTATAGCTTAAATGAAAAAAACAACTTTGCAAAATGCGCTCTGAATCTTTGTGGTTTAGCCAGTGGCCTATTTTCTTTTTTAAACAGTGATTTCCCAAAAGTTCTAAAAATTTCTAGCACTCTGGGAGCCTGAATGGTCTGCCCTTGTCCAAAAGCTGCAATTCTGCTGAATCTCTAAGAGAGGCATCTGGTGACAGGCTTACAGAACGGACTGAGACTAATGGGCTCTTACCGGAGGAGGGTCATTAATTATTTTTGGAATCGGATTGGGTTGGGAGGTGAGCCAGGTGAATTTGGCAGTTTATACCCTCACATTTTATGCCTGTCAAAGCACATGTATATGCATGTCAAGAAGTTGTGCCTTTTTATCAGAGGCCAGATTATAAACAATGTTAAGTGTTTATGCCTTTTACTTTTCATTTTTTCTTACTAGTCCCCTTCTATTTTCACTTTTGCTTGATTCCCTCATCTGGGAGGAGGAAAGGCTGCTTTTGGTGTGAGACGAGGGTAAGGGTCAAGCTGCAGGCAATGAGAACACAGAGACCTGTTAAAACTCAAGAAAAATACACAAAATGAGAAGAAAAATATTTCCCTGAAATGCCCTGGCCCGGGCCTTACTCCTTCTTGAGTCTGTAATCAAACGCTCTCATATTCCGAGAGTTCTTTTGTCTCCAGTTTAAGCACAGAGGAGGTGACCTTACTTTATGAGACTCCATTTTTATTCCTTTCAGGCCTCTCTTTGGGCTCAAGATGGAGAGAAAGGAGAATATTAGATAAAAGCTGGCCTCACTTCCCCTGGGGAGTTGCTTTCTGCTGCTTTTATGAGATGCTGGGGCCCTTTTGTGGATGTACCTGCTGCTAGAAATGAGTGGGGTTGGCCAGGCGCAGTGGCTCATACCTGTAATCCCAGCACTTTGAGAGGCTGAGGCGGGCGAATCACTTGAGGTCAGGAGTTGGAGACCATCCTGGCCACATGGGGAAACCCCATCTCTACTAAAATGTAAAAAATTAGCCAAGTGTTGTGGCGTGCGCCTACAATCCCAGGTACTTGGGAGGCTGAGGCAGGAGAATTGGTTGAACCTGAGAGGCAGAGGTTGCAATGAGCTGAGATCACACCACTGCACTCCAGCCTGGGTGACAGAGTGAGACTTGGTCTCAAAAAATAAAAAATAAAAAGAAATGGGTGGGGTTGCCGCCTCCCTGGCCCATCAGCTTGTAGCAAAGCAGTTAGAACATCTTATTTGTAATGAAATACTTCAAATGTATAGGAGAGTGCAGAAACCAGTATATATTCAGGTGCCCAATACGCAGGCTCCCAACACTAAAAATTGTTGACATTTTGAGGTTTGCTGTGTTTGTTTCATATTTTAAATGTCATTTAGATTTTTGTTTTAAAGAGCTAAACCATCACAAATACAGTCGAAGTCCCTCAGCCGCTTTCTATCTTATTTCCTTCTGTCCCTTGTAGGTAACTCATTTCTGAGACTGGTGTGTGTCCTTTCAATTCATGTGTTTACCACATAATTATGTATCCATATGTGATACCATGCTATACTTACCCTTCTTCAGCTTTCCTTTTTTAATGTTTTGTTTTCAAGACCTATCCAGATTAAAGCTTGTAGATCTGGTTGATTCATTTTTAGGTATTGTATGAGTAAATTATATTTACACATATGTTTCCCTAAGTGGAATTGTGTTTTAGAATTGTGTAGTTTTCTGGCTTTCTTAAAATTTGCCAAATTCTCCTTCAAAGTGTTTTATACCAGTTTACCCCCATGTCAGCATTCTTTTAATTTTTAATTTCTCTTAAGACCTCACCAACTCTGGATGTTTTACAGCTATTTAAGTTTTGCGAAATGGTATCTCCCTCCTGTCTTTAGCATTTCACCTATTGTTGGTGAGGTTGAGTAACTTTGTTTATGTTAACTGGTTATTCAGGTTTCCTATGAATACCTCTTCATTGCTTTTCAAACCCCTTTAAAAATAGCAGGAAGCCCTGAAGAAGCTGAAGAGGTTGTTTGTATGCATAAAGATATGTACATATGCAGGTATTAAGAAAATAGTAAGTTCTAGAAATGTCTGTCAGTGCAGGGAGACTTGGCCTTTTATCATCGTGCCGTGAGAGCAGGGAGCACAGTTCCCAGCATGAGAAATCTGACATCTTCCTCTTTAGCCATCAGTGGGGTCCAGCTATGTATGCCTCGAGCTCATCAGCTTCCCTAATCTGAGGCTGGGGAAAAACATAAGGAGACAGGTGAGAAAGGAAAGGGAGTCACTGTCTGTCAGCACTGAATCAGGCACTGGGCAGGGCATTTTTACATATCTACTTTATTTTTATCTCAGGCAGCCATAAGGTAGGTATTTCCTTCATTTTACAGGAGGAGGAGTCTGAGGCACCATGGGATTAAGTGACTTGTCCAACGTCACATGATCAGTGGCTGAACTCTCTGAACCCAGGTGTCTGACTCCAAGCCCATGCCATTTTGCCCTGCCAGGAAAAAGTAGAAAGGAGGAATGAGAGGAGAGAAGGGAACAGAGAGAAAGAGGAAAGAGAACAGTCTTTGGGCCAGGCACGGTTGCTCAAGCCTGTAATCCCAGCACTTTGGGAGGCTGAGGCGGGTGGATCACGAGGTCAAGAGATCAAGACCATCCTGGTCAACATGGTGAAACCCCGTCTCTGCTAAAAATACAAAAAATTAGCTGGACATGGTGGCGCGTGCCTGTAATCCCAGCTACTCAGGAGGCTGAGGGAGGAGAATTGCCTGAACCCAGGAGGTGGAGGTTGCTGTGAGCCGAGATCGCGCCATTGTACTCTAGCCTGGGTAACAAGAGCGAAACTCCGTCTCAAAAAAAAAAAAAAAGAAAAAAGAGAACAGTCTTTATGATGAGTCACCAGTAATCACAGCTGTGACGTTAGTTTGCTATGCTAATAATCCAAATTTTCCTTCTTCATAGTATATACATCCTGCAGATGCTGTGAAATTGGGCCAGGCTGAACTAGTTGTGATTGATGAAGCTGCCGCCATCCCCCTTCCCTTGGTGAAAAGCCTACTTGGCCCCTACCTTGTTTTCATGGCATCCACCATCAATGGGTAAGGCACCATGGGTGGGAGTCCTTAGTCCTGTGGCAGGCTCTTGCAGATTTGGGGGCATGTGGTGGATGTGGCCTGGGTCTGGACAACTAAGTCTGAGTCTCAGAGAATTTCAGTCTTATGTACTGAGTGTCTGCTTCTGTCTGTAGGTGTGATAAAATTTTGAAAAATACGTGGATGGCAGTATCAGTATCTTATATCTTAGAAAATATAGTATTCAAGTAACTATAATTATAAGAAAGCAAGCTTATAATGACATGAGTGTTTTTTAATTTGAAATATTTAATTTTTTAATTTGAAATATCTAGTGTTTGCTGTAGAAAAATTAGAACAGTTAAGCAAAAGAAAAGTCACCGCAATTGAACCATCTGGAGATAGATTTTGTTAGAATTTTGGTGTATATTTTCTCTGCACTGTTTTACTTTTTTCATTTGAACAAGAAAAACATTTTTAATTTGCCTTTAGAATATATATTGTGAAGTCTTTTGAGGTCAGTAAATACATATCCCCAATGTGGGAAAGATTTCTGTATGGAAATCACATCTTGAAGAGATCATTCTGTATTGCAGATTTATTGTGACTGCTCTGCTTATACTGAAAATGCTGAAATAAAATGGATTTTTACTTTTCAAACAGCTTTATTGAGATATAACTCACATACTGTACTATGTAGCCATTTACAATGTGTAATTTAATGGTTTATAGTATGTTCACAGAGTTGTGCAACCATACTCACCACAACCAATTTTAGTTAACGTTTTTACCACCCCATAAAGAAAGCCTGTCATCCTTCTCCAATCCGTCCTCACCCCCAACCCTAGGGAGTCACTAATCTACTTTTTGTAGCTGTAGATTTGCCTATTTTGGACATTTCATATAAATGGAATGATAAAATATGTGGTATTCCATGACTGACTTGTAGCATGTATCAGTATTTCATTCCTTTTTGTGGTTGAATAGTATTCTGTTGTATAGACATACCACATTTTAGTTTTCCATTTATCTGTGGATGGACATTTGGGTTATTTCTCCCTTTTGGCAATTATTAATAATCTTGCTTTGAACATTAGTGTGCAGATTTTTGCATGGATATGTTTTTCAGTTCTCTTAGGGATATATTTAGGAGTGAAATTATTGGGCTAGCTCTGTGTTTAACCATGTGAGAAGCTGCCAGACTCTTCCAAAACAGTTGCACCTTTCTGCACTCCCGCGCAGTGGATGAGGGTCTGACTCTTCTGTATCCTCTCACACACTTGTGACATATTTTCATGATTATAACCATTCTAATAAGTGTGAAGTGACATCTCATTATAATTTTCATTTGCATTTCCTGGTGACTAATGATGTTAGCATCTTTTCATGTGCATATATGGCCATTCGTGTGTCTTCTTTGGAGAAGTGTCTGTTCATATCCTCTGTTCATCTTTCTAATTGGGTTGTCTTTTTTTATTAATGATTTGTAAGGGTTCTTTTTTTTTTTTTTTTTTTTTTTTTGAGACGGAGTTTTGCTCTTGTTACCCAGGCTGGAGTACAATGGCGCAATCTCGGCTCACCGCAACCTCCACCCGCTGGGTTCAGGCAATTCTCCTGCCTCAGCCTCCTGAGTAGCTGGGATTACAGGCATGCACCACCATGCCCAGCTAATTTTTTGTATTTTTAGTAGAGACGGGGTTTCACCATGTTGACCAGGATGGTCTCGATCTCTTGACCTTGTGATCCGCCCACATCGGCCTCCCAAAGTGCTGGGATTACAGGCTTGAGCCACCGCGCCCAGCTGTAAGGGTTCTTTATGTATTCTTGATACCAGGTCCCTTATCAGATGTGATTTACAAAAATTTTCTCCCATTCTATGGGTTTTTTCACTTTCTTTTTTGTTTCCCTTTTTTTTTGAGACAGATTCTTGCTCTGTTGGCCCAGGCTAAAGTGCAGTGGTGTAATCTTGGCTCACTGCAACCTCTGCCTTTTGGGTTCAAACAACTCTCCTGCCTCAGCCCGAGTAGCTGGGATTACAGATGGGTGCCACCATGTCTGGCTGATTTTTGTATTTTTAGTAGAGACGGGGTTTCGCCGTGTTGGCCAGGCTGGTCTTGAACTCCTGACCTCAGGTGATCCACCCAACTTGGCCTCCCAAAGTGCTGGATTACAGGCGTGAGCCACCACACCTAGCCACTTTCTTTATAGTAAGCTTTGATGAGAAGAGTTTTTAAGTTGTAATCCTTGTGCTTACTCTTTTCTCTTAAATAAATAAATTGGAATACTTTTTTTGGGAAATGTTTGTTATGTGGGTTGGAGAGTGGGAATAAAACACTCAAATTCTAGCTTTTATCATTATTTGAGTAAGAGAAAGTATTTTTCAGTCTTTGAATATGATAATGAATACTATGGAATGATGTCATGAAAAAAAGTTCTGTGTGTACCCGGTGGTCACATATGCTTGTGACCGAAGACAAGAAGAGGAAGACAATGAAAGCTGGTTTGAGTTACCAGATTATTGGTGATTTAATTTTTTCCCCAGATTTTGTTAGCTGTTTTGTGTCGCCTTTTAAGTGAGCATAGTAGTGAAAAGAATTTCTGAGGTGGTGGATTTGTTTTATTTTCCAAACTGGAAATGTTGTCAGTTCATTTCCTTGTGCACTGTACTTCCGAGAGCAGCTCCGTTAGTTGACCATTTAACTTTGTTCCAGCTTCCACTAAAACTGCTTAAAGCCTGAGCTCCTTGCCCAAAGATTCTAAGTAGATGAGAGTAAGACGTGAGTCCAGGCCTAAATGGCCCCAAGCTGAGCCACTGTGCCACCCTGCCTCCTTTGGACAGGGGCCTGCTGTGCTGGAAGTTCAGAGATGAGCAAGACTGTCCTCGGGGAAGCAGGGGTCTGGTCTTCCAGCACAGGGAGGAAAGCAGCTCTCTGTTCCCTCCTAGGCAGTGGATTTGGGACCTCATGCCTGATTCCTTTTGCCTTTGTTTCTAGCTATGAGGGCACTGGCCGGTCACTGTCCCTTAAGCTAATTCAGCAGCTCCGTCAACAGAGCGCCCAGAGCCAGGTCAGCACCACCGCTGAGAATAAGACTACAACGACAGCCAGATTGGCATCAGGTACCCCAGAGCCTGACCCAGGCCCTACAGTTCACAGCAAGGCCCTTCAGTCTTGCTGATTCTCACTTCCCCTGTGACATCATGGGTAGCACTCAACCTTCAGGCTGAGAGGTTTAGTCCCCAAGAGGAGAAGTAGCTTTTCTCTGGGGAACAGCTGTCCAGTGACCAGCAGGGAGCCAGACTAGGGCCTTCTGATGACGGGGCCCTTGTTTGTCCCTGTCTCAGGGCATGGTGGCATTGAGATCCCTTTGGAGTTGGTATCGTGGCAACTTGAGTATCCACCAAAACAGTTTCAAACCACCCAGTTTAAATTCTTACCACACGTCTCTGGGCACCGTGGGACAAACATAAAGTGAAACATTTTTCCTTGCTTTTTAGACAATACATATTTAATCATTGTTTCTTATTTTGTGTGTGTGATTTGTGGGGAGCAGCGCGGACATTGCATGAGGTTTCCCTCCAGGAATCAATCCGATACGCCCCTGGGGACGCAGTGGAGAAGTGGCTGAACGACTTGCTGTGCCTGGATTGCCTCAACATCACTCGGATAGTCTCGGGCTGCCCCTTGCCTGAAGCTTGTGAACTGTATCCTTCTCCGGGTTCCGCTGGCCCTGTGCGAAGGAGAGGGCGATGACGGGATTCAAAGGATTCGGGCCCTTTGTTTCATAGGATGCTGCTCTAGAGAAAGGGGAAAGTTGGACGTTTTCTATTTCCTTTTTCTCTTCTTCCTTTGATGTGTTTCTGCTTAGGACACTGAGTTCCTGTTCCCAGTTAGGGAAATCTGTTCTGCTTCCAGAGAACCGTGTGTCCTTTCTTGGGCTGTTTGGTTTGTTTTGGTTTCTTAACTCCAGACCCAGCTACTATGTTAACAGAGATACCCTGTTCTGCTACCACAAGGCCTCTGAAGTTTTCCTCCAACGGCTTATGGCCCTCTATGTGGCTTCTCACTACAAGGTGACTGCAGCTAGCCCTTGGGGGAATGTCAGCAGGGAGCTTCAGCACTTGGCAGTCCCCTTTTACTTGATTTATATCTTTATTACCCGGTGGCGTAGGTGACTGTTGCATTGGGACATTGATGAGGTCCATCAATCTTGCTGTGCCTATGTATAGAGCATGGAGCTCCGTGCAGTAGCTGGACAGGGTGGAAAGCTGTGCCCATTTTTTTTTTTTTTTATTTGAGATGGAGTTTCACTCTTGTTACCCAGGCTGGAGTGCAATGGCGCGATCTCGGCTCACCGCAACCTCCGCCTCCTGGGTTCAGGCAATTCTCCTGCCTCAGCCTCCTGAGTAGCTGGGATTACAGGCACGCCCCGCCATGCCCAGCTAATTTTTTGCATTTTTAGTAGAGACGGGGTTTCACCATGTTGACCAGGATGGTCTCGATCTCTTGACCTCGTGATCCACCCGCCTCAGCCTCCCAAAGTGCTGGGATTACAGGCTTGAGCCACCGTGCCCAGCCCAGCTGTGCCCATTTTTAAAGGAGTGCTTTCGTTTCTTACCTGCCTACTAAACTGATAGGATGAAGTGACATCACAGTTGTGACCCAGTGGTGCTGTTTGACCTGAGACCAGCTTTTTAGCTCTGGGCTGTTTTTATGGCACAGTCATTTGAGGGTTTAGAATATCTGAGACTCTTAAAAATTAAAGGGAAAGTTAGAAATGATATTTTTTGAATGTGTAGATAGTACTTTTATGAACAACATTTAATGGAAGGCTTGAAGAGTTGGTGTTAGAAGAAGTGGTGACAGTTTTTCCTGAAATAGCAGCCTCGTATCTGTAAAAAGTTCACTTCCTAGCTGTGAAATAAGTAGTGCTAAATAAATTCTCTTCTGCCGTCAGTGCTCAGGGTGAGAGGACAGTAGGCGTTTGAGGCTAAGTTCCACTTAACCTATTATCAAGAGTCTCAGGCTTGCCAAAATACTAGAAAGTTGGTTTGCTGGACCTCAGCTCCTCACTTGACTTTGGAGAAGGCAATACTCCAGTCATCCTGTGATTCTGAGTCGAACCTCTTGCGTAAAGGGCAAGAGGAAGCGTGCTTCTCACTGTCCCACGTTTGGCTTCCACAGAACTCTCCCAATGATCTACAGATGCTCTCTGATGCCCCTGCTCACCATCTCTTCTGCCTTCTGCCTCCCGTGCCCCCCACCCAGAATGCCCTTCCAGAAGTGCTTGCCGTTATCCAGGTATAGGAGCAGAAGCATCCTTGTGGCAGTGATTTGGGGAACCACTGAGGCATCAGGAATTAGTGGCTCGGTAACTGTGGTGTCGGGTACTGAAACTGTAGAGTCCTAGTCCGAACCAGCTGGCTGGGTCTGCGGATTCAGGGGACTAGGGTGCCCTGGAAGAAGTCAACACTGCTGGAAACCCGGAGCTCCACTGTTCACACACGGGGAAAAGCCAGAACCGACCACTCTCTTATTTTGACTCACAGCTTCTTCCACAAACAGACTTGTTTTCTCCCTTTATTACAAAAGCAGTACATGGTGCTTTTTGAATTAGAGGCTACAGGTTGGGGGAACAAAATTTTAACACCTGGCAGGGATGTATTTATGCATTTCTGTGTCAGTTTTCCTTTTTATATACAGGCGATCGTAGTATTTAGTAATCTGCCTTTTTTTTTTTTTTTTTTGAGACGGAATCTTGCTCTCTCGCCCAGGCTAGAGTACAGTGGCGTAATCTTGGCTCACTGCAACCTCCACCTCCCTGGTTCAAGCAATTCACCTGCCTCAGCCTCCTGAGTAGTGGGATTACAAGCACACGCCACCATGCCTGGCCAATTTGTTTTTGTATTTTTAGTAGAGAGGGAGTTTCACCATGTTGGCCAGACTGGTCTCGAACCCCTGACCTCAGGCAATCCACCTGCCTCAGCCTCCCAGAGTGCTGGGATTACAGGCATGAGCCATTAGTAATTAGTAACCATTAGTAACTGTGCCCAGCCATTAGTAATCTGCTTTTATTTTTAGGCAGTATGTAGATTACTCATAATCTACATAAGTTTTAAAAGCTGTATAGTATTTCATTATATGCATGTACTATGATTTGCTTAACAATTCGCCTGTTAGACATCTGAGTTGTTTTGAACTTGTGCTGTTCTGTAGAGAGCCTCATGAGCATCCTGTGTCTTAATTGACGTCCACACGTGCATGACATGCACAGAGACTCTCTTCTAATGTGGCTTTTACTTTTGCGTCAGGAGGCTGTCCGTCTTCTGCCTTGTCACATGGGGCATGGTAATTAAGCTTCTGTTAGAAATGGATGCGTCAGTTGGTGTCAGCGTTAAACCTGAACACGGGGATGAAAACAACTGGCCTAGCCTGAGAAGCTATATTCTGTGAGTGGGCTCTGGATCAGAGCTGGCCATTCTGCCTGCTTTCCCGGTTCCCCCACAGGTGTGCCTTGAAGGGGAGATTTCTCGCCAATCCATCTTGAACAGCCTGTCTCGAGGCAAGAAGGCTTCAGGGGACCTGATTCCATGGACAGTGTCGGAACAGGTAACGGGCTTTCCCTGGCGTGTCGGAGGGAAGCTGGCGGTGTCCAAAGATGTCTGTGTTGCTAAGTTACTGGTTTGTATCTCCCACACAGTTCCAAGATCCAGACTTTGGTGGTCTTTCTGGTGGAAGGGTGGTTCGCATTGCTGTTCACCCGGATTATCAAGGGGTAATATGTTGCTGGCGTCACTTTAGGGCGGAGGTACTTGGTGGTTGGAATAAGACGCTAGTCAAGCAGAAGCAAGTGAAGTGTAGGCACTGCCCCACTCTGGAGAATTCAGCCAGGGTTTGGGGCGGACGGGTGGACAGAATGACGGCATATGCTCATTCTTTCTTTGTGAGAACAAGGGCTTGTGAACCAGATCTGCATACCGAAATTACCTTCTTAGAATACCTCACTGAATAATTGGCTGTGGAAACTTCCTTTCCAGGCAGTAGTACAGGAACTGTCTCTCTTTGGGGCCTCCTTATCTGGAGACCAGAAAGCACAGTTATCCTTACCTTCATGTTGCTGTTCTTTTTTAAAAAAAAAAAAAATAAATATAGACTTTATTTTTCCACATAAGCTCTGTCAAGTCCAAGGCACTTTCCTAAGTGGCTGTTCTTGACTGGCTAGAGCAGTGTTAAGAACTCAGGTCACACTACTTTCCGTCTTCAGTGTCGCTGCTTTGACCTCATTGAGGGATTTCATTGGTTCTCTTACCCCATGCAGTTTGACCGGGAGGGAAGGTTCTCTAGAAGCAATACAGGGGAGTAAACGTGGCTTCGACTGAGAGCAGCTCTCTTCCCTCTGCCTCTTGCCCTTCATGTTTGTTTCTAGATGGGCTATGGCAGCCGTGCTCTGCAGCTGCTACAGATGTACTATGAAGGCAGGTTTCCCTGTCTGGAGGAAAAGGTCCTTGAGACGCCACAGGAAATTCACACCGTAAGCAGTGAGGTAAGCGTCTTTCCACAAACCTCCTGTGTCCTGGTTCTTGGGAGGATAATTCTCTGGCTCTTTAGGGACATCAACAAAAACCAGTCCAGAGCTTTGGGCCCTTCTGTCATTTTCTTCTACTGCTGCTTTCTCCAACCAAACACTTGAGATCCTCAGATCAGTATCATTGGGATCATCTGGCAGCTTGTTAAAAATCTTAAGTTCTTCAGCCCCACTCCAGACCTACCGAATCAGAAACTCGGGTGGACCCCGTAATCTGTAGTTTAACAATCTTCTGAGGTGATTCTGATGCTCATTCAGGTTTGAGAATCGCCGCAATAGATCTATAATCTTTTTCATGTTAAACTCAGACTAAGGGCAATTCTGTGTTTCCTTGATAAGAATGACTAGTGCCGGGCGCGGTGGCTCAAGCCTGTAATCCCAGCACTTTGGGAGGCCGAGGCGGGTGGATCACGAGGTCAAGAGATCGAGACCATCCTGGTCAACATGGTGAAACCCCGTCTCTACTAAAAAAATACAAAAAATTAGCTGGGCATGGTGGCGCGTGCCTGTAATCCCAGCTACTCAGGAGGCTGAGGCAGGAGAATTGCCTGAACCCAGGAGATGGAGGTTGCAGTGAGCCGAGATCGCGCCATTGCACTCCAGCCTGGGTAACGAGCAAAACTCCGTCTCAAAAAAAAAAGAATGACTAGTACTAGTAACTGTTGACAGTCCTGCACGTGCATTCATTGCTTTTCACAGTATGTCTGTTTGGGAGTTAGACAAGGGGCTTTTATTTAAGTTGAACCAGCTGGGCAACATGACGAAACTGCATCTCTACAAAAAGTATGAAAGTTAGTTGGGCATGGTGGCACACGCCTGTAGTCTCAGCTACTCGGGAGGCTGAGGTCAGAAGATTGCTTGAACCCCAGAGGTTGAGGCTGCAGTGAGCCGTGATCTTGCCACTGCACTCCATCCTGGGTGATAGAGCCAGACCCTGTCTCAAGCAACGAAAAAAAGGTTCAAGCTCAGAGGTTTGTCACTTCCCAGGGCTGTCAGGTGATAGAAACTGGACTCTGTGCTGGATCATAGGAGCCTGCTTGTCCCTTTGTAATCTGATCTGTCAGACTTTTTTTTTTTTTTTGAGACGGAGTTTCGCTCTTGTTACCCAGGCTGGAGTGCAATGGCGCGATCTCGGCTCACCGCAACCTCTGCCTCCTGGGCTCAGGCAATTCTCCTGCCTCAGCCTCCTGAGTAGCTGGGATTACAGGCACGTGCCACCATGCCCAGCTAATTTTTTTGTATTTTTAGTAGAGACGGGGTTTCACCATGTTGACCAGGATGGTCTCGATCTCTCGACCTTGTGATCCACCCGCCTCGGCCTCCCAAAGTGCTGGGATTATAGGCTTGAGCCACTGCGCCCGGCCTTTTTTTTTTTTTTTTTTTGAGACGGAGTTTCACTCTTGTTACCCAGGCTGGAGTGCAATGGCGCGATCTCGGCTCACCGCAACCTCCGCCTCCTGGGTTCAGGCAATTCTCCTGCCTCAGCCTCCTGAGTAGCTGGGATTACAGGCACGCGCCACCATGCCCAGCGAATTTTTTGTATTTTTAGTAGAGACAGGGTTTCACCATGTTGACCAGGATGGTCTCGATCTCTTGACCTCGTGATCTACCCGCCTCGGCCTCCCAAAGTGCTAGGATTACAGGCGTGAGCCACCACGCCCGGCCCAGGCTTTTTTTTTTTTTTTTTGAGATGGAGTCCCGCTCTGTCTCCCAGGCTGGAGTGCAATGGTGTGATCTCAGCTCACTGCAACCTCTGTCTCCCGGGTTCAAAGCAATTCTCCTGCCTCAGCCTCCTGAGTAGTTGGGACTACAAGCATGTGCCACCACCCCTGGCTAATTTTTGTATTTTTAGTAGAAACGAGGTTTTGCCATGTTGGCCAGACTGGTCTCAAACTCCTGACCTCAGGTGACCCACCCACCTCGGTCTCCCAAAGTGCTGGGATTACAGTCGTGAGCCACCATACCCGCCTCTGTCTGGCATTTCTAAACTCTGTGGCCATCTTCCTGCATTCTGGAGGTCCAGAGCAGTGTGATTCCATGCATATTGAGGTGTTTTGTGTACTTGGGGGAATGATTGCTTGAATTTGGTGTTGCCATAGTTTGAAAACCACAGCATCAAACCAAGAAACCACTTCTCCCAGTTTTTGTTGTGCTTAGTCCAGAGTGCGCTGTGCCAGGGGTGCTTGAAGATGTCTCTCTCCCTCTGCTGAGTGGATTGTGTTCTCTCCTTGGCACCTCCGCAGGCCGTTAGCTTGTTGGAAGAGGTCATCACTCCCCGGAAGGACCTGCCTCCTTTACTCCTCAAATTGAATGAGAGGCCTGCTGAGTGCTTGGATTACCTGGGTGTTTCCTACGGCTTGACCCCCAGGTTACTCAAGTAAGTGCCTGCCCTTCTTCCGCGGCGTCACTCCTTGGCATTGGGAAGGAACCGTTCTGTGGGATGTGTGTCTCTGTTGGTAGCTGGTGTCTGCTAGCCCGCTGTTTGGGGCCTGCCCTTCCTGGCTCTTGCCCTTGTGTGTCTGTCAGCCATTCCCCAGAGGCACACACAGTGACCTACTCTCTTTGTATCTTTGCAGGTTCTGGAAACGAGCTGGATTTGTTCCTGTTTATCTTAGACAGACCCCGGTGAGTGAGGCATCAGCAGAGGAGAAGTTTAGGTTTGCTGTTACAGTTGGTGACAGGCCTGTCCTTGCAAAGAGCCCTTGTGCCTCCTTGCTGCTTTGCTCTGAGCAGGTGGCTGTGCCTCTGAAGAGGTTTATTCTGATGGACAGTGAAACAGCCATCCTCATTGACAGGCCACATCATCACACTTTTCTTTCCCGACTACACAGTGCACGCCTTGTGCTTAGTTATAAAATGGCAGAGGTGCACGTGGACTTGTTCATCAGATTCTGCAGTTCTGTACCCAAAACGACTGGTCTTAGGGGAGTGCCGTTGTGTGCACTCACAAGGCAAGCTGGTATCCGAGAGAGGGGAAATACGTGGATGACGGAGGCACAGAGGACCACGGAGGGAAGCTGAGAAAGTTAGAGACTGTCAGTCATTTTCGAAAAATTTTATTTAGCATCTGTAATCGGTGAATAAGACAAGCCATGAAGCTTATTTTCTAATGGGTGAAAATAGGCAGCAAAAAAGTGAACAAGGCCAGGCACACATTATGGTGGCTCACACCTGTAATTCCAACACTTTGGAAGGCCGAGGGGTGAGGACTGCTTGAGCTCAGGAGTTTTGAGACCAGCCTGGGCAACATAGACCATGTCTCTACTAAAAATTAAAAGAATAACTGGACATAATGGTGTTCACCAGTAGTCCCAGCTACTTGGAGGCTGAGGCGAGGTCACTTGAGCCTGGGAGTTTGAGACTGTGGTGAGCTGCATTCATGCCACTGCACTCCAGCATGGGTGACAGAGTAAGATACTGTTTCAAATAAAATAAAATAAAATAAAATAAATGTTGTGAAAGTAGTAAGTGCCATGAAGGAAACCACACTGAGATTACAGGATAATGAAGGGTCGGGCTTCTGAGGGGTGAACTTGCAAGCTGAAACCTGAATTCAAATTGGACATCCATGTGACAGTCCTGGAGAAAAGGCCCTTTCCCGCCAAAGGGACAGCACGTGCAAGGCCCTGGGGTAGAAATGAAGGTGCTGATTTGAAGGAAACCAAAGACCAGCGTGGCTGGAGAGTCCTTAGAAAGGAAAGGAGCGTGGTTCATGGTGGTTCATGGTGGTTCATGGTGGATCATGGTGGATCGGTCTTGTTGAGGAGGCGGGGTGTTCTTCCCATTCCCTTGGCGGGAGGGACAAAAGGAAAGGTTCTGGCAGCTGTGTGGATGGTGGACAGTGGTGGCCCAAGCCTGGAGGCAGGGAGTGCCGGTGAGGATACGGTGGGCCTCGTGACAATGGAGGGAAGTGGCCAGTTGCGGGATGCGCTTTGGAGGCAGAGCTGACTGGAATTGTGGAAGGAGAGTGGACGGGAGGATCAAGGGTGATTATTAGAGTTTTGGCCTGAGAAACTGGGTGCTGGAGGTGCTGTCAGAGATGGGACTCAGTGCAGGAGGAGCAGATTTGCAGGGAAGTGGGGGAGTTCTCTTTGATACTAATGTGAGATGCCTTTTGGACATCCCAGTGGAGATGTGGACTAGGCATTTATTTGACTACAGGAATAGGGAGATAGGGAAGTTTGGGGCTCGGGATGGAGCTTTGGGAGCCATCAGCATAGTCATAATCAAATGCACTGCATAAGGGCGCAGAGCTCTTGCCTGTTTTGTTCATTGCTGTATGCCTTGCACTTAGAGTAGCAATTGCTCTGTAGTATGTGTTCAGTAAATACTGTTGTTGAGTGAATGAAAAATATCTGGAGCCAGTGAAAGGACATGAGGGGAACTCTGTGGACTCTAACATTTAGAGGAGTGAGGAGGAGGACACAGCACACGGGACTGAGAAGGAACAGCCCTGATGTGCAGGAGAAAGTCGCGGTGTGGTGTCACACGTCGAGGGGAAAAAGTGTGTGGGAAGGGGAGTCGGCCCTGCTCAGAGGATGAGGAGGATGCGGGCAGCTGGCCGCTGGATTTGTCAGCAGCGGTGAGCTGTGGAAGCGGCTGCAGTGGAGTGGAGGCTTTGGCCTGGTCAGAGGGAAAAGGAGGTGAGGAAATAGGTGAACAGGCGATTCTTTCAGGCAGCGAAAGGGAGCAGAGAAACAAGGTTGCTGGAGGCAGATGGGAGCTGAAGAGGGATTGTCGGATAGGAGATTCTAGAGAATGTCTGTTTGCTGCTGGGTTCGATCCTGCACGTAGTGATGGGCTGACTGCGAGAGTGCAGGCCTTGAGGAAGCGGTGTGTGGGACTCGGGATTCAGGATGTGAGGTGACCACCTCCTTCATCCTTAAGAACAGGGAAGGCAGAGAGCATGGGTATGGAAGGCGTCAGTTGGCTGGCTGATTTGGTGCGCTGGTGTTGTTGGGCGTCCGTGCGGGCAGGGAGCCGCAGAGGTGGGTTGGGTCTCTGTCAGTGCATTCCGTAGTGGCTGGGGATGTAAATCTGCCTGTCAGCTGCCAGGAGAATGCAGGCCAGTGAGCTGCCATGTGGTCTGCCATGGGTTCGTAAGGTCTTGCACTTTCACTGTTCCTTTGTGACTTGATGGTGGTGTTTTTATGGTATGGGGCTTTGTTGTTACATAGTAAAACATGTAAAAATAGTCGCAGTGTTAGCACCCAGAGAAGCCTGCACTTGAGACCGGCTGCCAGCACTGAGGTATCGGTTTTGGCTCTGCAGTTCCTGCTGTGAAGCACCAAACCCATGTTGTTCGGATTGTGTAGAGCCTAAGCCCTAATGACGGAGTTCAGCACGTATCTGAGAGGAGCAGCCTTTTCCCTTCTGCAGGTCCTGAGCAAGAGGCAGGTCCAGAAGAGCGAGCAGCTCTGTTCTGTGTCTGTGACACTTTTGAGGAGGTTGCAGGGCAGTGATCTTTGCAAGCCCTTGCGTGTGAACTGAGGTGATGTGAGGAAGGTGAAGGTGAGGGCTGTGTTCCAGAAGGGCGTCTCCCAGCCCAGGAGGGAGAGGGCCACGGAAGCGCCAAGCCTTTCTTTGAGTGTTTGCCCTTCATCAATGATGGGCTGTTCAAAAAAGGGGCTTCTTGGTGTGAGTTAAACATTTGTGTTTCCCAGAATGACCTGACCGGAGAGCACTCATGCATCATGCTCAAGACGCTCACTGATGAGGACGAGGCTGACCAGGGAGTCTGGCTTGCAGCCTTTTGGAAAGGTGACTGAGGAGTGGGGGTTCTGGGGGGACAATGAGGTGATGAGGGGACGGGGGGATGCCTCCAGACCTCTAACTTTGCATGAGGGCGCCTCACAGATTTCCGGCGGCGGTTCCTAGCCTTGCTCTCCTACCAGTTCAGCACCTTCTCTCCTTCCCTGGCGCTGAACATCATTCAGAACAGAAACGTGGGGAAGCCAGCGCAGCCAGGTGAGCCGGGCGGCGACAGGGAGGAGGGTTGGGAGAGGCTTCCTGTGTGGCAGGTAGGAGGTGGGTGTGGTGTCCTAGGAAGGATGTGGTCTGGTTCTAGCCTGCAGTCACTCGTTGGCCACCTCCTGCTTGCCAGGCCCCTGCGCTGTCCCAAGCTGTGCTGTCTTTCATTTTCATGGTCAGACTCTGGCTGTGCAGTTTGACGTCAGGAGTGTCCAGTTAGTTCAAGAAGCTGGTTAGTTATGGAGGCCGATTTACATCTGTGCTCCAAGGGAGTGAGGTGGTCTCTCTCTGAGGTTTAGTTTCCTCATTCATGAAATCGTAATGAGAATATGCTGCCAGCCTTCTGTGGCCAACAGTACACACAAGTGCTTTGTGCATAGAGATTCTGTTTGAATATTTAAAAAGCAAAAAGTGTGTAGGAGATTATTAGTTTTATTGCATATTTTATATATAAGTATGTAGGAGTAATGTGCATATGTGTGTGTATATACTTTTTTGCCCATTATATTTTGATAGAGAAATCAGTATTTCTTGAGCTGGGCAGAGCTTAACACTTTCTGTGATGCTGAATGAAGTGACAAAGCAGAGAAAGAGTGTAGTTGTGTTCCCCTGACCCTAGGGCACAGGGAGCCTGCCTTGGTCCATGTGTTCAGTATGGGAACTGAGCAAGGGTCCTGTGGCAGCTGTCCCCTCCCCGCAAATGGCCTCTATGGCAGGAGTAGGTTTGGTGCCCTTCTGGTCCAGGGCTGTGTGGTGTGGCTGCCAGGCCCTCTGAGATGCTTGTGTGTGTGAGGGCGCCACCTGGGGGCTGTGTGCTATCTTATGAGGGTGCTGGGTGGCCTGACCGGTCTGGCTCTGTGTCCCGTGGACAGCGCTGAGCCGGGAGGAGCTGGAAGCACTCTTCCTCCCCTATGACCTGAAGCGGCTGGAGATGTATTCACGGAACATGGTGGACTATCACCTCATCATGGACATGATCCCGGCCATCTCCCGCATGTACTTCCTGAACCAGCTAGGGGACCTGGCTCTGTCCGCGGCCCAGTCGGTAGGCTACCTGCTGCTCGTGTGGAGGAGAAGAAGTGAGGATTGTGGAGCTGTTCACTTGCTAGGTGTTGGGTTGGGCACTTGGACATAATTTTGTGCCTTTAATTACTCATGGATCTGATAGGTGGGTAGTGGTCTCATTGTGCAGATCAGGAAACCTGGGCTCTGACCCCGAGTAACGCATAGCCACGGTACAAAGTAAGTGAGAGAGCCGTAGCTTCCACCCCACACTGCGTTGCCTTGACACTTAACTCCACCTTAGCAGAGAGTCAGGAGCACCCCAAACTTTGAATGTAGTTGTGAAGCAGGTATTTGTCACCTACATAATAAAAGTTATTTTGGGGATTTCAGGAAGAGAGTATTTCTTGGTGGTCTCAGTAACAGGATGAAAGAGAAGATGCCAGTATATGCAGTGCTAGTCTACCTTTGTACCAATAGCTTTGGCCAAGAGAGTACTCTGGTTCTCGGTGCCATTTTAATGGGCAAGGGCCTGTCCTGGAGGCCACCTCAGCAGATTTTCCATCCTCTAGGCTCTTCTCTTGGGGATTGGCCTGCAGCATAAGTCCGTGGACCAGTTGGAAAAGGAGATTGAGCTGCCCTCAGGCCAGTTGATGGGACTTTTCAACCGGATCATCCGCAAAGTTGTGAAGGTAACCTTGGCCTGAGGCAGATCAAGCAGGGGCTTGATCTCTTTCAAATAGTACAGTATACCCACTCCCTGCTCCTGAGATGAACAGATGGTAGCATTTAGCTGTATTTGCTGCATCTTGTCGCACACACACACGCACACACACACAGAGGACTTCAGCTCTAAAGAATCAGTGAAGTTCTGTGTACTCTCCCAGAGGCGTCCCTTTTAGGATTTGGTACATATCCAGTCTGTGTTCTTAAACTCTTTCTATAAATATCCATATTCCTAAACTGTAGAGTGTTGCTTTGTGTCTTCAAAACGTACACCTTTCTATAAGACACCAAGTGTCTGGGTCACGGATGACTGGGCCCTGTCTTCATCTTCTGCTTCTCTGTGGTTTTCTTTTGTAGCTATTTAATGAAGTTCAGGAAAAGGCCATTGAGGAGCAGATGGTGGCAGTGAAGGATGTGGTCCTGGAGCCCACGTTGAAGACCCTCAGTGACGACCTGGTACATACCTGCTCAAGGCTGCGGGGAGTCCTGGCATTTCCATCAGTTGCCTTAGGCTGTGAATGCAGACTGTCTTCCCCTTCCCCTTTAGAAAGAGTCCTCTGCACTCACTGAGCTAAGTGCTGTTCCTGAGGTTTGATTGTGCAAACAGACCCAGCGTTGTCTGAGCACAGTCAGGCCTAGAGTTGTGCCTCCCACTGATTGTGTGTGAATGTTGTGAATGCAGGATTCCAGCATCTGTTGTAAATGTTTTGTCTTTTTTTGTAACTTCTTAAATGTGTGTTTTATATACACATTTAATCAATCAGAGCTGCCTACAAGGCTTTTGCAGGTAAACGGAAGAGAAGGAAACGTTTTCTTCATTGTGCTATTCCACCCCAGCTTCTCCTTTTCCTGTTTGGTTCAGACCATGACTCTGACTTAGTCTCTATGGGCCCTTAACCACAGGATGAAGCAGCAAAGGAATTTCAGGAGAAACATAAGAAGGAAGTGGGGAAGCTGAAGAGCATGGACCTCTCCGAGTAAGGCTTGTGGGAAGCAGAGGCTTTGCCTTGGCTTCTGGGGCTCTAAGAATCTGCCTGCAGGTTTCTTCTAATCATATCCCAGGTGCCCTGGCAAGTGTCTTTTATGGGATGAGTTTTAGGAGTGCTGTTAGCACTCCTAGATTAATACTGTATAATTTTGGAAGTGTGGCAGGCCAGTGCCACCACTTTGATTTTCAAATTGCGCTCTCCAATCCCTAAGGCTCCGGGTCACATCTGAGGGGTCCTTCCAGGAATGGGGGTGCTCATTGGAAGAGCATACACTTTAATGGCCACTTTGCTCTATTTGGCTTTTACTTGTGACTTTGTTTGAAGAAAGGATTCTGCTGTGAAAACCAAACAATCAAGTAGAACCCTCCCTGCTCTAAAACCCTCTGGGATCCTGGTCCCTTTTGAGCTTCAGCTGTATGGTGTGGCCCCTCCCTCCACCGCCTGGATTGATGTGAATGATAACTCCACAGTCATGGCCTCTGAGCCTCTGTGACCTGTAGTGCTATTTCTGGGTCATTAGTGATGACGGCTGTTGGGTATGTGAGATGGAGGTGACCAGGAGTCCTTGGTCAGAGAATCAAGCTCTAGTTTCTGCCCTCAACTTTGCAATATCAAATCCTTGATTTACCAGGACTGCTAAACCTAAAAGAGAAGGGAGGGAGGGGAGAGGCACAGTTCAAGGGCTTGTGGACAAATGCCTGGGGGTGGGAGTGAGTGGGAAGATTGTGGGGGTGACAGGAAGCTTCTTTGGTGGGTGTTAATGAGAGTCACGTGGGAGAAGTCAGGCAGGCTGCCTTCTGTACAGGACTGTCCTCACTGACCCCTGCCAGCAGGCCTGGTGACCCCCGCTGCTGTGGAGCTGCCATCCATAGAGCTAAGTGCCATGTCTCTCGGCCCTCCTCCACGCTCGTCCTGCTGACACAGCCCAGCCTGGCTTTCATGACAGGAAGTGTCTGATAAGAATATTGTCACTGTCGTATTTTCTCTTACGCGGTCCCCTCTTCTTTCAAGCAGGCTTTGATGGTTCCCTTCTTTTTTTAGATACATAATCCGTGGGGACGATGAAGAGTGGAATGAAGTTCTGAACAAAGCTGGGCCGAACGCCTCGATCATCAGCCTGAAAAGGTGAGGGCCCAGGGTCTGACCTGCATCCGGTGGAAGAGGCATTCCGGCCTCTCTGCTTCTTTTTAACTTTGACTAGAAAATAGGAGGTTGGAGCAAAAGCTTTGAGAGAAAAGTCACGGTTCTTCCCTTTGAGAGCCCCCTGGTCACTACCTTGGCAGTGCGTCTCCCACAGACCAGGAGGCCCGTCTCTTAGGCATGGATCTCTTCACTCTCTGTATTCATCAGCCATGCCAGGGCACTGGGCCTGTCAGGGAGGAGGGCTTGAGGGAACAGTCTAGAAGCTGCCACTGACTAAGACTTGCCTGTGGGCTCTTATCCTCCAGCCCTCAGGAGGACAGCATGAGGGGGCTGTTGTGTTGCTGTCATTGCTTTAAGATGAAATAACCACGGCTCTAAGGGGTTAAGTAAGTTCCCAAGAAGCACATAGCTAGTGAGAGCCGGTTTCTCCATGGCAAGGCCATAGGTTCAACTGTTACATGCCCTTCCTTTGAGCCAGCAGTTCTCAAGGTTTTGGGTCTTAGCATTCCTTTATCTCTTAAAAACAATTGAGGCAGCCGGGCATGGTGGCTCATGCCTGTAATCCAAGCACTTTGGAGGCCAAGGCAGGCGGATCACCTGAGGTCGGGAGTTCAAGACCAGCCTGACCAACATGTTGAAACCCCGTCTTAAAAAAAAAAAAAAAAAAAAAAAAAAAAAAATTGAGGCACCCAAAGAACTTATGTTGGTTATAACTATTGAAATTTCCCATATTACAAATGAAACACTGGCCAGGTGCAGTGGCTCGCGCCTGTAATCTCAGCACTTTGGGAGGCTGAGGCAGGAGGATCGCTTGAGCCCAGGAGTTCAAGACCAGCCTGTGCAACACAGGGGATCCTGTTTCTACAAAAAAATTTTAAAAAGAAAATAAATGAAAAACTGAGAAATTTTTAAAAAATATTCATTTGTTCACAAGAATGACTCAGTCATTGTTCTGAAAATCATAAACATTGTGGTGAGAAGAGTGGCATTGTTTTGTGTTTACATTTTCGCAGATCTCTTAAATATCTGGCTTAACAGAAGCAGCTGGATTCTCATGTCTGTGTCTTCATTCATACTCTTGTGCTGTCACATCTTACACTCTGGAAAGCTGAATATTTGTGAGAGAATGAAAATGAAAAAAGGCAGATAACTATTTTCATACTAAGACAAATACATTTTGGCCTCATGGACACCTGAAAGAGTCTTAGGGACCCCAGTAGTCCCTAGACCATGCTTTGAAAATCTTCACTCCAAGCTGCTTATCTGCAGAGTGGCGCATTTGTAAATAACTTAGGCTGGAACCTTCTTCAGTTTTCCGTGGGAACACAACGAGGCCTCCCCTGCCCAGAGCCCCTGGAGTTGAGGCTTTCAGCGCTCATTTGGGGGTTGATGGGGAGGGTGAGTGTTTGGCAGTCCCCTAGTTACTGGTTTCCTTAAGAGTTTGTATCTTGGAAACATTTGGAAAGAGGAAACCTTGTGACTGTAGAAACTATAGATCCCAGAAATCAGATACTCTCTTCCAGAGTCTCATAAATCACTGTGGCATCTTGAAGGATCCAGCATTGATGCCAGCCCCATTTCCCAGATGCTCTGTGGTACAGCACAGAAGCCCACTGTCGGTGTGACCTGCCTCTGGTTTGGACAATATGGCAAATGTAGCACAGGGCCCATGATGGCTTTGGCCTTGAGCATGGTGGCTTTGACTGGAACAGAAGCCCCCGGAGCGGGCTTGCTGTGGAGACGGCCCCGGGGCCTTGCTCTGCAGAGCTTGGCCTCCCCGGCCATTTGTTTGGCCATTGCTGGTATTGAGAAGCCTCTTGAGTCCAACCAGCCGGTGTTGTGTGCTTGTTCATGTGCTTGAGGGTTCTGAGTAAATGTGAAAGCTTGAACTTTGTGAGCTAAAAACACTGGTAGCTCTTATTAAATATTCTCCGAGGCCTTTCTTTTTCTTCCTTTGAGAGGCACTCCATTCATAATGGTCTGTGGATGGCACTCTTCGCTGTCTCCTTGTAGGGGAGTATTTATTCCCAGAGCAAAATTAGACCTATATGTTTCTTAACGGCAGGTGGCTATTTGCTGCGCAGTTCCTGTGCCAGTCTATCAGTGAAGAATCCAGGGGCTGGTCGCAGGGTGTCACCTGAGTTACTGTTATTTGGGTTTTCTTCCTCTCGTGTAGGAAAAATAAAATAACAGTAGCACCTCAGAAAGTATGGCGGGGTTTTCCTTGGAGTCTCGTGGCTTGTATGAGGGACTGTCTGCAGGGTCATTGGGATAAATATGTCTGGTTTCCAGAGTCGCTGCAGTGGTGAGAGTGGTGGTGGGGATTCCTTGTGGTGCCTTAGGAGAGGTCACTGTCTTGGGAGAGGGGAGCGTACCGCACTCTGAGGAGAACCTTGAGGTTCTCGAGGTATTGACTTGAGGGATTAAGATCGAGATTTGTTCTTCCACAGACTGAGAGCTGCCTCAGGGCAGGAACGGGGCTGTGTGGTGTGTCTCCAGCCCCAGCATAATGCCTGCCCCCAAGAGGTGCGCAGAGAACACTGATGTTCAATTGGGCGTCCTACATCAAGTTCCAGACGGTGGGAACCCTTTTTCACAAAGCAAAGCAATGCGTAAAGCAGTCTCAGATGTTCAGATCTGTACATGTTTCATTCTTGCTGTTTTCAATTTTTCTCTAGTGACAAGAAAAGGAAGTTAGAAGCCAAACAAGAACCCAAGCAGAGCAAGAAGTTGAAGACAGACAGAGATACAAAGAACAAAAAAGATATGAAACTGAAGCGGAAAAAATGAAGAGAAACTTGGGCGTCAGTGCTTGACCACGGGAAGGTAGTCTCACTTCCTGAGCCCTCTCTGGCTGGACTGAAGTTGGCCTTGGACTGAATTCAGCCTTGGGCTTGTGTCAGACTGTGCCCTCAACCTGGCTGAAGGCAGATTCTCTCCCGAATGGGTCTGCTCAGAACTTGGTGGCTGGATACTGCCACGTCTGGCATTGCCAGGAGTCTCTCTTGCCCCTTCCCCCTCCCCAGTTCCGGGTCCTCCTTTCCCATAAGTTCATACTTGGCTTAGTGCCAGCTTTTTTAGGCTCCTTCCCACACATGTGGAAGCCACGTTGCCTGTCATCCCTCTGAGGCCCTTAAGTATATTGCTTTCTGGTGGTGCCCAGGGGGCTGCTGCTGGGCCACTGGGTCTCTCTTTGCGGACTTGTGCAAACACCCGGAGGCCTGGAGCAGGAGGAACTCCAGTCCGACCCGGCGTCCGTGGCAGCCCGTGGTTAGGTGTGCGGGGATTTGCTGATGTCGTCTTGCGCTCATCCATTCTTGGCTCCAGCAGAGCTGCTGCCCCACTGTCCCAGAAAAGCCTGAGGCTGTAGTTTAGGTAGGATGCCACATCTGTGTCCTCAAGACCTGTCATCTCATCCATTTGGGAAAAGACGTTGGGAAAGGCCATTTTGCTAGCAGGGGTGAGGGGAGGGATAATCTATTTTTAATAAATAACATCCTAGAAAGACCAGCTGCCTGTGAGTGTTCTGAAATCCACATATGTGGAAGTTTCTCCTGGTTCTTGGCTGCCTGGTAAAATATGGAAGGTGTTGGTGTCAAGGCCAAAGGTAAGCAGTGTGTCTAGGGCCTCCCAGCCCAGGAGTCCGTGGGAGAAGGGGCGGGCGGGTATGGTCACCTCCAGGGGCCTGGTGCGGTGGCTGGAAGCCACCTGGAACTGCCTTGTTTCCTTCCCAGCTCCTGCCAGGTCACTTGGTCCCTTTCATTTGTTGGGGACAGAGATTACTTGGTGGCTTTACACGTACTTTGGTATGTTTTTTAAATGGTATCCAGGCTAATGAGCCTGCAGCTCCAGTATGTTGTCTGGGTTCAGAGAAGTCTAATGGAAGGACAGAGAAGGAAACAGTAACTTCTGAACCTAAGGGCACTTCACGTGTAGCTCCTGGGACTCGACCCCAGAGCGAGAAGAGCAGGTTCTGTGTGCGACCCTAGAGCTGCCAAGCCTTGTCACTGAGGCTGTCAGGACATGAGCCGAGGGGCCTTTCGTTTCTTGGAACTGTAGTTTCCTGGCCACAGACCGCTGTTAGGTCTGTAGGAAATTTTGCTGCAGGCAGGGAGAGGGCATGAAAATAATTTCTATTTATTTTCTCAGGTGGGTACCTGAGCCTGCCTTTCAAAGAGGGTTTTCTTAGAACGTGGTCAAAAGCAGAGTCACATTCTCAAATGGTCAGAGCTGGATGGGATTGTGAAAGTTGTCCAGGCATATCATCCTGCAGGTAAGTCTCCCAGCTGGCTCTGCTTTGGGGTGCAAGGTGAGAGGGCTCTGGAGCCAGGCTGCTCTGCCCTGACCCTCACCGTGGCCTTGGGCAGGTTACTGCATGCTACCTGCTCTTCAGGTCCACTTCTGCAAAGTGGGAGTGGTAGGAATAGCACCCCCCTCCCAGGGCTGTGGTGAGAAGTGGGTGGGTAGAGTGGGAAGCACTTAGAACAGTGCCTGGCACATAGCAAGTGCTCACTAAATCTCTCAGGGTTCTGGGCACTCGTCAGATCTGACTAGAGGAGCTGCTCGAGTTCAGTTACATGCCAGCTCCAAGAATCCTCAGGAAGGACTAGCTGTGGTATTTTTTTTTTTAAATGAGACAGGGTCTTGCTCTGTTGCCCGGGCTGGAGTGCAGTGGCTCAATCATAGCTCACTGCAGCCTTGAACTCTTGGGCTCAAGCCATTCTCCCACCTCAGCCTTCCAAGTAGCTGGTACTGTAGGTTCTCACCACCACACCTGCCCATTTTTTTAAATTATGCAGAAGTGGAGTCTTACTCTGTTGCCCAGGTTGGTATGGAACTCTGGCCCCAAGTGATCCACCTGGGCCTCCCAGAGTATTGTGATTAGAGGCATGAGCCACCACGCTTGGCCAGGACTGGCTGTGTCTAAAACCACAACCTAAGCTAGAAAAAGAGTCTGACTTGGGCAGCAAAGAGCATGCATTTTGCAGTCAGACACGTCTGGCTCTGTGTAATATCTCTGTCCTTGGACAGGCCCTCTTTGTTTGTAAAGCGTGTATTCCTAAACACACGCTTGGGCCTTTGCGTGTTGTGGTCATGATCTTGGTTCTCCTTCAAACCTGAAAAGGCATGCCTCCCTGAGACCCCACCATCTGGCCCCCAGACAGAGTGACATCTGTAAAGCTTGGCTGTCTTAGGAAATGTCACTTGCAAAATGAATTCAGATAGGCCAGCCATGAATGCTGTCACCAGAAGGGGAAGAGGCTGAAGAATTCTGAACAAAGAAGATTACTAAATGGTCGTCCCCCGTACCCCCCGCCAGGCGGGGCTGATGCCGGCCTGCTTCAGTGCTTCCACTGCTCATCTGGCCCTGCAGTCCCCGAGGACTCTGGAGTGACCAGGAGGCGGGACACAAAGGGGGCCGCTGAGGCTGGGAGGTGGGGGAGGGGCAGAAAAAGTGACCGTCACCTTGGAAAAATGTAGACTCATTAGCTGAGGCCGTTAGAGCACCGCAGCCATTCTGCAGGCCTAGGGGGTGGGGGTAGGGTTGGAAGCCCCTTGGGCCCGAATAGGCAATTTCAGACTATAGGGAAAAGGGGCCGCCCTCGATTCTACAAACAATTGGTTCAAGTTAAACATCATCTGGATCCTCAAAGGGGACATGAAAGGCAGCCTGAAAGGAAGAGGCTGGAGGCTTCCTGCTACCTGCCACCTCTGGAGAGGCTTTTCTTCGGAGACGGCTAAGGCACCAGCTTATAATTGTCTGTGGACCCGCTGGAGCGGAGTGAAATCCCTGTGGATGCAACCCATGCTCTCAGCACCTGTGTACTCAAGGGCTCCTGTACAAAACTCCCCCCCGGCCCCCCTGTGGCTGCTCTTCGCTGGCGGAGCAGGGCAGACTGAGCAGCGGTCCTGAGTTAGGAGGAGGCCCACCTCCCTGGGGTAAGTGATCATTTCCGTTCGAGTCCTAGCCCCTTGGAAGAATGTCTGATTTTTTTTCTAATTTAATTGTAAATGTTTATTCAAAAATGTGTTCCTGCTACTTGCAGGCTCAAAGGGGCCTCTTCCTCCCTCCTCCCTCCACTTTCTCTAAACCCGCAACTCACCCTCTCAAAAGAGGAAACGGCTGATCCCACGTCTGGATCTAGGAGCCAACTGGATCTTGCCTTCTAGGCTGGGTACTGACCAAGGCGTGTCCTGCAGGGATGGGGGAGCTTGGGCTGCTTGACACAGACCCGTGAAGGGTAGCCAGTTCGTATGGCAAGTGCTGGGGAGGGACAGCCCTCTCCACCACCTTCGCAGGCCATCGCACAAGGTGCGGGGAGTGTGCTACCTCCCTGTGGCCCCCAGAGGGCACCATGGGTCTGTGTGGCCGCTGGGCCCCGGGCTGGGCCTGAACTGCCCTGCATGGCCCCTGCTGGAATTGGGCCTTCCCAGGGACTGGGATCTTTATGTCATTCCCCCCAACTCCTGAGTCATGGCCAGTCACTGACCCAAAGCCACTTTGGTTCAGGTTCCCAGTGACCTTAGAAATTTCTGTACCTGCTTCAGGCAGGCAGGCGGGCGACTTTTGGGAGAGTCTTGCTGTGTTGCCCAGGCTGAGGTGCAGGGGTGATCATAGCTCACTGTAGCCTCGAACTTCTGGGCTCTCTGATCCTCCCACCTCAGCCCCCACAGCAGCTGGGAATACAGGTGTGCACCACCATGCCCAGCTAATTGGCAGGGAATGTTTTACAAACTAGTATTGGTGCCTGAACTTTGCATCTAGAACTACAGCCATAGTCCCAGAACACTCTTGAGCCTCAGGCGGCGCCTCACCATCTCCCTCCATTACCTCTGCTAGTGTCCTTGTGGTAGCACAGCCAGCTTAGCTCAGCAGGGCCTGGAGGCAGCAGTCACCCAGGGATAGGTGCCTCATATCAGGCCGGGTCGGGCCTGGGTGGAGGAGGCCCTGCCGCCACTTTGGTGGGCTATGCCATTTGGGGATGTGCCAGGGTTTGCAAACACCTCTGAAGACAGACAGCCCCCAAAATAGCTCCCACATAAAGGGCCACGGAGGCGCGTGGGAATGGAGATCAGGAAGGCCTGGTGCTGTCATATTCCGCAGTCATTTGGCTCCTGTCCAGCTCCGTGGCACATATGTGCTTAGTTAAATGTGAGCGAGGATGGGTGAGGAGCAGATCCAGGCTGAGTTTCTGGAGAGAGGCGAGTGTTGTGGGCACAGCAACAGCTTTGGTAGGGTCTTGGCTCTGAGAGGCGGGAGACCTGAGTCAGAGTCAGCTCTGGGATCCCTTCCTGGTTCTAAGGGGTTCCCCCCGCCCAGTTTTGAACTCTGAGTAACCCTCTACAAGGACCCATGAGGCCAAGGTCATTGTTAATGAGTGTTTATTGTTAATAAAACCAGGGTACATTTACAGTAAGTGACAACATTATTGTACAGTTAAAGTATCATACAATATTACAGCAATAAAATAATGACTATTTCTTTGTACATCCAGCCAAGCAGCTAGTCAAAATATTTCCCAGGATTGCAAGCCCCTGGGGGCTTTTCAGGGTGGCCTGAGTGACACCTCCTGAAATGTCCAGGGCTTTTGGTGAATAAATAGTTTCTAAGGTGCGGCCAGACAGCTGAAGAAGCTGCACCCAGACAGGCTGTGCCTGATGCTGCCCCAGTGTCTGGTCCATAAATACAACAGGTGTCAGGGGAGCCCAGGGGGACTACAGAATTTGAGGGCAGTGCGGGGAGGGGACTCAGCAGAAGGGCCTCTTCTCCCAGCACTTGTCCCCCACCAGTACCCTGTCCTTTATCTCCAAGAGCCACAGTCCCCAGTGAGAAGTGTTCACCCAGCTCTCAATCCTACATTAAGGGAACCTTTCCCTTGAGAGACCTGACCAGGGAACTCCGCCTCTTGGCCCCCAAAGGCAACCTAGTCTATAAGCCTGAGGGTCCAGAATCCACCCATTTACTTTGGCCCCTAAAAGCAGCAGCAAAACAAGAGCTGAGGCCACTAGGCTCCTACACGGTACCCCATCCCCTACCCCTTGCCCCTCCACACCAGACTTAGAAACCATCAGCTGGGGAACTGCCCTCTGCCACCAACTGAGCAAGGTGATGATAGTCCTGATGGGAGGGACTCTGGAAGCCCAGGCACCAAAGACAATGGGGGTGGGGGGGACTCTGGGTGGCAGCAGTGGTGGTGGCAGGGGGATCCTCAGGCCACTGGAGGCCCACATCAAGCCTTTCAAACCTTTGAGGAATAAGTTAGGGATTTGGACAACTTTTCTTACGTGACATTTAGGAAGAAAAATACCAGCTTTTGAATTACTATAGAAGGCCGGGGGCCTAGACAGTATACATTCCATACATTCATAAGGATTGCCACACCCCCAGGTACCCCAGTGGGGATGGTCTGAGTTTACTGAGGCCCTAGGGGTGGGTAGAGCTTGGGGGGCCTAGGCAGAGGTGGGTCAGGACCAGCTGCTTCCCTGCAGAAGAGGGGCACGCAGGGGAATGCATGGCCGCCCTCGAGGTACACACTGGGACGGGGAGAAGGGCCGCCAGCTATGTCTCCACTTTGCCCATCACTGATTGAACAAACAGCTCTGGGGCAGAGGAGCTGAGGGTGAGCTGCCTGGTGATGGGAGCTCAGGCACATCTGCCTACCCAAGGACAAATCAATGCCAGAGGAAGCATCCGGGTAAGAAGGAGGAAACAGCCCCGTGAACCTGGCTCCAAGGGGGCCTACAACCATTCCCTGACCTGGTGGGCCCTGGCCTTGGCAGCCTCACACCCGGGAGGTGATGTAGACAGAGTGCACGCGCTCGGCCAGGGTGCTCTGCAGCTCCTGCAGTGGGTCCAGGCCCTGTACCTTGCTGCTGCGGCCGTAGATGAGCTGCCGGAAGGCGTTCCTGCTCCAACAGGGCCTTCATGTGCTTGAGGAAGAAGCCCTCGCAGAACAGGGCCAGTTCTGGGGCGTTGTGGATCTGCAGGGCAGAGAGAGGAGGGGTGAAGCCCATGACCTTAGTACAGCCCCACTCGCCCTCACCCCCAAATATTACCTACCTATAGCCACGGCCCTGCTTAACCACCCTGGCCGGCACAGGCATTTCCTGTCCCTGCATCTTGAGGTCGGCTCTGCTATATCTGAATTCCTTCTGTAAGCCTTTCCTTGGAGTGGGACCCATCTAGGTTCAAATCCCAGCTGTGCCACCAGGCACTGTTAACAGCCCTCATCATTTTCCCTGCCTGCATCACACTGTCATGCTGCCTTGTTAAGTGGCAGTCATCCTTGTTGGGTTGGAAGTTCTCTTCCTAAGGGTGGGAATGGGCACTGTCCACTGCTGGGTGTCCTGGAGCCAGCACGAGGCCCGGCATGTAAGCGTGCACGTGGTAAATGCTGGATAAGGACGTTCACTCAACAGATAGCAAGGTTTTAAAGTTGCGCTCTGGGTTTTACGTTCTGAGGTCAAGATATCTGCAGTGTTGCTGATGTCCTAGTTTGGAGGAGAAAGAATCTGAGAACCAAAGAAAAGGTAGCTGCAGATGGCATTGAAGACTGTGAAGGAGGTAAAGCCAGCGTGACAGGATGGCTTGTGGGAGGCCTGGGGACACCAGCTGATGAAGGGCTGGAAGGAGCTTTACAGGAAAAGCCCTGGGGTCGGGGCAAGGAAGGAAGCATGGTGGAGTGAGGGGAGATGTGGGCGGGGCCTTGGGGGCTTTGGAAGACATGGTAAGGGCTGGCTGTTATTTAGCTTGCAGCAGGTAGAAAACCTTTGGTGAGATTAGGTTTGGGAGTAACACAGTCTTTGTACCTTTTTGGGTGGGGGCTGAGTTGAGACAAGGTCTTGCTCTATTGCCCAGGCTAGAGTGCAGTGGCATGATCACAGCTCACTATAGTCTTAACCTCCTGGGCTCAAGTGATCCTCCTGCCTCGGCTTCCTGAGCAGCTGAGACCACAGGTGTACACCACCACCCTCGGCTAGTTTGTAGAGACAGGGTCTTGCCATGTTTCACAGGCTGGTCTAAATTCCTGGTCTTCCTGCCTCAGCCTCCCAAAGTACTGGGATTACAGGTGTGAGCCACTGTGCCTGGCCATGGTTTTTGAACTTTTGAAAGAACCTTATGGATTGCAGGGCTAAGGCCAGGCAAGAGGGAGGCTGGACTGATGCAGTTGTCAAGAGAGTGATGCTCGTGGCTTGGGGCAAAGAGAGGGCAGTGGAGAGGAAGGGAAGTGGAGAAGCCGCTGATGTGTTTGAGGTGGATGGCCTGCATGTGGGAGGGAGGGTTTTTGCAAATCATATAGGATTCCTAAGGTTTGAGTCTGAGCGACTGAGCAATCACCGTGCGGCTTGCTGGGATGGGGCAGCTGGGAGGGACAGACAGGTAGGGAGAAAAGTAAGTACCTGTGGCTTTGATTTGACTCAGAGGCTCAGCAACTTGCCCAGATCCCACAGTCCAGGTGGCAGAGCTGGACTGGGAACCAGCACGCACCTGGCTCAAAAGCTCACCTTTAAGCTACCATGTGGCCACTGGGCAGCAGTGATGCCAGGCTACAGAGGGAGTTGCTAACCCTCCCCCAGCCCCCACACTGCCCTCAGAAGCAACCCGGCCACCTGCATCTCCTAGCTTATCCATAGCGCGTCCACACGGCCAAGGCCCCATGGATCAGACTGTGGTGGGAGGTGGCCAGCAGGCATCCTTGGCTCTTACCTTGGCATATTTGTAGGTGTTCACAGCACTCTCCACACTGAGGGTCTGGGAGCACAGGATCTCACAGTGCCTCTGCAAGGCGTCCAGCTGGAACAGGCTGGCAGCTGACAATAGCTGGCAGAGAGGCAGAGCAGGCCTTGGGGACCCATGGCCAGGCTGGTGGCCAGGGCGGCATAGGAAGCTCCCGAGTGCCATGTGCCCTGCTGCCTCCCGCCCTCAGGCCCCACTGCCATCTGATTCCCCTGGGCCTAACCATCCCTGCTGGGGCATGCACCGAGGTTGGGCCCGGCGGTGTGCACAGTCCCCGTTTCTCAGAACTGCTCTTCCTGTCAGATGGAGAGGAAGGGCCACCTTCCCTCTGTGAGCGGGGTGAATGGGAGAACTGGCCCAGACCCCCTCCTCCTCTCCCAGGTCTCACCTCCAGGATGTCAGCGGTGGGGATCTCCATGGATTCTGTTCCTCCGTAGTACAGATACTGCATCATCAACTGCGGTGGGAAGAGGCCGGTGTGAATGCCATGTGGACCTGACGCCTGAAAGGCCTCACTTGGCCCACAGGGTACTGCCCCAGCTGCTGCTTCCAGGGGACTATCGCTCTGCAGGTCCCCAGCTCTCTCTCCCTCCCTGTCCTGCTCAGGCTGAGACTCTTGTGTTTTCCCCGGACCACTACCTCTAGAAGCCAGCTCCAAGACCCTCTTTCCTGAGTCCCTGCCTGAATGACAAGCTCCCGCCATGGAGTGTTTTCCGTACAATCCTCATAACCCCGAGAAGGGAATTCTTGTCCACAGTTGAGGAAACTGAGGCCCAGGGAAGGAAGATGACCTGGCTCAAGTCCCTCAGCTCCCCTGATGCCTGCAGCAGGGCTCTCGCATGGTGCTTGCCCCTGTGTGGCTCGCTGCTGGTGTGATCTAGATTCCACACAGGGAGACCAATGGGGGATCTGAAGGAATGTCAGAGGGGCCTGCCTCCTGCCTTCCCCTGTCTGCACTAGGATGCCAGTGTGGAGGTGAGAGCCCCATCCTGACTCTCAGATGTGCTCCCTCAAAAAGAAAGCAAAGAGCCCAGGCCCAGAGCTCCCCTGGACAGGCTGAGCCCCACCTTGGGCTCCCAGGAGCAGGGGAGCCCTGGATACCAGATGAGGTGGCCCAGGACTGGGAACTGTATTTAGTTCTGCTGAGGTTTCAGTTACAAACTCTGCTATCAGGCTGGAGCCTAGTGAGGTTCCCAGTTGGAAAAAGAAAAACAATTCTTGCTGGCTGGCTGAAGAAACGGCCCCAGCAAGGAGCTGGCAAGTGTGTAAGTAAACACAGCTCTAGCCGGCACAGTCGGGCTCTGTCGGAACTGCCCTGAGGCCACAGAGGCACCAGAGGGTCTAGGAGAAGGCCCAGCCTCGGGGAGAGAAGGGGGGAGACCGGCCTGCCAGCCTTGTCCAGGCATAGGAGATGTTGGCCAAGGCCCACCCGAGATACCAGCCTCTCCCCATCTCTAGAGGACTGGGAAACGACCTTCTGCAGCCTCTGCTGGAGCTTGTGTGGTGAGCTCATGATTGCACAGTAAGTGTCCATCTGCTTCTTCCAGACAGTGTGTGCCTTGGGCAGGCCATGCCGGCTCCCTCTGCCCTCCCCATGCAGGGCACTGAGTGGGTACTCAGTAAGGTGTCTGCCCCTCACATAGGGTTGGGGTTGGGGGCCCAGGAAGGCAGGTCAGATCTTCCTGGTGGGATTCTTTGTTAAGGGATGGCCTCAGGGCAGCCCCTTGGGCCAGGCCTACCGGCCACCTTAGGCCACAACTCCTGTCCTGGCCTGGAGGGCACTTCGTGCTGCATTTTGGGATTTGGTGGATCTCCCTAAGGCCACTTAAATGCATGAGGCCACAGAAGTCAGATCAGAATGACTCACCTGGAGCCTTGCCATGGGAGCTGGGCAGCAGGCTGGCAGAGGTAGATGAATTTTGCACAGCCTGGCAGCCCCTATTAGGATACAGGTCATGTGCCTCCTGGAACCAGGCAGCCTGTGGGGCTATACAAGCTGCTCAAGGAAAGGCCCCAGACAGGACCAGCTGCAGAGGGGCAGCAGGGTTTCCTTCTCCCTGAGTGGGCCACATGGAAGCTGAGATGGTAGAAACCATGTTGGAAGAGCAGGGTTGCGGCCCTCTGGCCTCTGTGCCCCCAGTGCCTGGGCTTAGTTGACAGTGACCTTGGCACATCTCTAGACCCACGCTATCCAGTAGGATAATGACTGACCACACGTGGCTTCTGAGCATTTGAAATGTGGCTGGTCTGGATTGAGATGTGCTGTGTCAAATGCACACTGGAGTTTGAAAACTCAGTATTTTAAAAAAGCAAAATATCTCAGTAACTTTTTATATTGATTACATGTTGAAATAATATGTTGGCTATACTGTAAATTCAAAAATATTAAAATTAATTGCACCTGCTTTTTTTTTTTTTTTTTTGAGATGGAGTTTCGCTCTTGTTACCCAGGCTGGAGTACAATGGTGCGATCTCGGCTCACCACAACCTCTGCCTCTTGGGTTCAGGCAATTCTCCTGCCTCAGCCTCCTGAGTAGCTGGGATTACAGGCACGTGCCACCATGCCCAGCTAATTTTTTGTATTTTTAGTAGAGACGGGGTTTCACCATGTTAACCATTATGGTCTCGATCTCTTGACCTCGTGATCCACCCGCCTCGGCCTCCCAAAGTGCTGGGATTACAGGCTTGAGCCACCGCGCCCGGACCGCACCTGCTTTTTTTTTATGTGACTAGTAGTAAATCTTAAATTACGACATGGCTCACATTCCATCGGACGGTAATGCCTAGAGGTCCTCGGGTCTGTGTTTCCTCCCCCCAAAAACAAAGACAATAATGATCCATCTACACACTCCCACCTACCCTCCCAACATGAGAACCGATGAGATATGTGGGCTGGGCACCGTGGCTCACGCCCGTAATCCCAGCACTTTGGGAGGCTGAGGTGGGCAGATCACAAAGTCAAGAGATTTGAGACCATCCTGACCAACATGGTGAAACTCTGTCTCTACTAAAGATACAAAAATTAGCTAGGCATGGTGGCACGTGCCTGTAATCCCAGCTACTTGGGAGGCTGAGGCAGGAGAATTGCTTGAACCCAGGAGGCAGAGGTTGTGGTGAGCCAAGATCATGCCATTGCACTCCAGCCTGGCAACAGAGCAAGACTCCATCTCAAAAAAAAAAAAAAGTTAAAAAAAAAAAAAAAAAAATATATATATATATATATATATACACACACACACACACACATAGATAGATAGATAGATAGATAGATAGATAGATAGATAGATAGATATAGATATATATGGGGGTTGCTGGAAACCTTTCAGGCTTTGTTAGGGAGACCTGACCCCAGATTGATGGCTTCAGGCCAGCCCCTCCAGGGAAGCCCGGAAAGCTGAGGTCTAGAAGCACCATCTGAAATGATGCCCCAGATACGGCAAAGTTCTGCATCTAGGGGACCCACGGGGCAAGGCCAGTGCCCTGGGGCTGGGTAGAACAGTCGGTCAGAACTTGGCGAGAGGCCCAGCGGAAGGCACGTGTGTGCTGTGGACATGCAGCCTGTCCCCTGTTTGCCTTCCCAGCAACCCTGGGAGGAGCCAATGGGCTGCTGAGACTGTTTTGTAACAGATGCCCTCCTTTGGCCTGGCCGGTGAGCACAGGGGGCCGAGCCCGCACACGTCCCCTTATAGGCAGCGGTCACCCGTGGCCACACATGTGCGCTCCGCACTCTCCAATGATCCCTGCAGCCCCTCTAGGTCCTGCCTCCTGACTGATCTGAACATGACTCCACCTCCCACTCCCACTCACCTGCCTATTCTCCAGAGAGTTGGATTAAGGGGTGGGAAAAGAAGGAAGGGGAGACACCACCACTCTGGCCTATGCCAGAACCCTGGGCCTCCCCTCCCCCACACCCATCAGCTGGGATCCCAGCCACGTCTCTTCCTCTGGACTTTGTCTGCCCTGACTTGAGTTTCTAGTACATAACCTTGTATGTTCTGCAAAGCTGAGTGCCTGATAGACCTTTGATCTTCTACAGTCAGGATGTGTGCCTCACGGCCTTTTCTGCCTGACCAGCGTGGCTGGGGTTTGATGTTTGGGAGAAGTGATGCAGCCTCCACCAGCACCTCCCAAACTGTACTGAGCACGCGGCTGCCTGGGGATCTTGTGAAGATGCAGGAGGGCTGGGGTGGGGCCTGGGGCTCTGCATTTCCAGCAAGCTCTCAGTAATGCCCATTGGCTGGAGCCCACTCTGATAACAGGGACTCATAACCTAGGTGTGTGGCCTTGCACATCTGTCTGCAGTCCGCCCAGACCACCTGTTCAGCGGTTAGAGTTCAGGACCAGTGCGACAGGCTCTGAAGCTGCAACCCCACAACGGGACGGCCACCTCTGCACAAGGAGAGACCTGGATGCTCTACTGCTTCAACGAAATACAGAAGGCACTGGGAATAGAGTGGACAATTACAACTAACGTACAGCCGCCCACAAAGGTGAGCTCCTGGGGGAGGGGCACCCCTCCGAGAAGAGGATGGCACCAACACCCACACACCTGAAAAATGTGGTACTTCATATCGCTGATCTCAATGGTCTTGCTGCTGTCCCCATCCTGTTCGGATTTATTGGTCATTAGTGTCTTGAACCTGGAGCAAAGGAGACAGAGCAAGACAGGTTTTAAACCTTTTCTCCACTACTGTGTGCAATGGCATCGTTGTCACCTGACCGGCTACCAGGAGACGGAGCATTTTACAAATTACTGCTGTGCTCCTAGAATAATTTTCAGCGAATGCTATTTTACATCGTCCTGGGAAGACATCTGGGCTGAGCCTGATTCTGTCCCCCATACAAGTGACCTGACACCTGTGGCCAGAATGTTGACCCTTCCTCCCAGAATATGTTTTCTAATAATCAAAAGCAATAACTCAGCCAGAAAGAACACCACCTCAGAACCCCCCTTTCCTGCTACCCCTTGTCCACCCTGCCTCATCCTGCCATGAGGCAAATGGGGCTCTCTCAAGGACAGAGGGGTCAGGGTACAGCCCCAGCCCGTCACTCTCTGTCACCTCGAACCTGAAACAAGCTGCTTCCGTGCCCCTGGGCTGGGAGTTTGTTATCTGAGGCTGCCTACCTGTTGGAAGCTGTCACCAGCAGGACTTTATGTGCATAAAACAGCTTTCCTTCCACTAGGAAGGTCACGTCTGACATCTCCTTATTGTTCAGAAAATGCGGATCTGCGAAAACGGGGGAGACTGAGGGATATGGCCAAGGAGTCCCCTGCTAGGGGTTGCTTGAGTGTGCTGTGAGATGCGTTGTCAGGGTTGGGAGTGGGACACACAGGTGAGGAACAGAGAGACAGGCTGGGGCCTTGGCACTTGGAAATGGAGAAAGATGGCAAAGCGGGGAGGGGGTGAGAAAGGGAAGAGGGGGAGGGGGAGGGGGAGGGGGAGGGCGTGTGGCGGTGCAGGGGGCGGGTCTTCACCTAGCCTGGCTGGCAGGGTCTTCCGGATCTCTGGGATGCTGGGGATGGGGCTGCTGCCATAGCAGTGGGTGAAGATGGCAGCCAGTTGCTGGATGACGGAATCGTTCTGTGGGGAGGGGAGAGAGGGCCTGTGAGCTGCCTGTCTGTTCACAGACGCAGATACATCAGGCGAATTTCAAAAGTCCAGGCCAGGATTAGAGCAGCCGCTGTCTTTTGTTCCTGCTGGATGTGGCTTGGCAAGAAATGTCTGTTCCTTCATCAGTGATTCCCCAATGGCTTTTTTGGCTAAGTTCCAGCCCAGACGCATCCATGGCCTATGACCTCTACAGCCAGGCAGTGCAAGTCTAAGTCTGGGTGCTAGGGGTGGGCGGGTGTGTGTGGGGTGTGTGTGTGTGTGTATGTTGGGTGGGAGATCCCTGTGTGTGTGTTTGTGTGTCTGTGTGTGTGTGTGTGTGTGTCTGTGTGTTGGGTGGGAGATCCCTGTGTCTGTCTGCATGTGTCCATCTGTGTGTCTGTCCCATGATCTGGGTCTGGGCTGTGGGCTTGGGAACCGGTCACTGGCCACACTCACCTTACTGGTCTTGAGGATGTCAAACATGAGCTGCAAGCCCTCGGTCACCAGCTCCTCGTTGTACTCTTCCTCTTTGATGGAGCTGAAGTCCCGCAGGAGGCTTTGCACCATCGAGTACCGTGACTGTGAGAAGGAGGTCCTCAGAGACTCAATCCAGATGTGCAGCTTCCAGGGGACCCCTGGCCCAGGCAGGAAAGAGTAGGCAGTCACACACCACAGCTAAGCACTCCCGGCACAGACCGAGACCACAGCCTTTCCCAGGCAGACTCCCAGGACACCCCACTGTTGTCTGTAGAGCACCCTGTCTCCTCCCGCCTGCCCCCTTCTTGTGCGCCTAGTGGCCCTCTCAGGATGGCCATGGCATGAAAGCTTTAATTCATTCTGATAAGCCTTACTGGCAGGTCAGAGTGGAGTTTCAGGTTCTCATGAGATGAGGTGGAGGAATAGCTCCAGCCCAAATGCAGGGAACTCAAGCTCTGAAAGTTAGCCTAGCCCGGGGATTTTGAAGTGTTGGCCCAGCACCCATAGCAGCCTTGTCATTTATTGGGCTCAAGAATTATTTGCTAGAGAGGTCTCAGTCGTGGAGGGGTGGCCAGGAGGGCTTGGATGGCCAGAGAGTATGCCAGGCGCTCAAGGACACAGAGGCCTCCAAGCCTGCGCAGAAGCCCGGAACCAACCCAGTCTTGCAGCTCACGGGAATGCCACTGCACATACCCAGGTGCATAATTACTGTTTACCAGTTCCCAGTGTGTGTCAGTGGGGCTATAACTTAGCATTGTTGTGAGAAGTTCATGACATAAAGTAGTCATGTCCCTGGTAATTAGAGAGACAGCTTCTTACCCCCCAGCCTCACTGTGGGTTAAAAAAGAACTGATGGGCCGGGCGCGGTGGCTGAAGCCTGTAATCCCAGCACTTTGGGAGGCCGAGGCGGGTGGATCACGAGGTCGAGAGATCGAGACCATCCCGGTCAACATAGTGAAACCCCGTCTCTACTAAAAATACAAAAAATTAGCTGGGCATGGTGGCACGTGCCTGTAATCCCAGCTACTCGGGAGGCTGAGGCAGGAGAATTGCCTGAACCCAGGAGGCGGAGGTTGCGGTGAGCCGAGATCGCGCCATTGCACTCCAGCCTGGGTAACAAGAGCGAAACTCTGTCTCAAAAAAAAAAAAAAAGAACTGATGGCGTTCGCCAGTGACACAGTGACAGCAGTGTGGTGGTGGTGGCATCCTTGGGTTACTGACTGCAGGTGGGAGTGACCTCTCCATTTCAGTGAGGAACACTGAGGCTGACTCACTACTGTCTTTGCCCAGCCCTGGGGGTTTCTGGTCTTGTGATGACAATGACAGTGCTATCATCCACCAAGTGCTCACAGTGGCCACCACGCCTTGTACTTTAGATGATGTCACCCCAGTTTTAGAAAAGGATCATTAGCACCAAACCCACAGAGAGAGGCGAGAATTGAGGCTGGGAGAGGTGATGTGGTGCACGGCTAACACAGGATCTGACCTGTCTGTCTGTCTATCTGACCGGCCTCCCTAGAGGACACCCAAAGTCCACAGACTCACAGACCCAAGGAGTGAAAGGTTAGCTGAGTGTCAGGCCTGCTGCCTCACAGTGTGGAGTCCTGGGGCTGCAGAGGCTCACAGTGCTCCACATCCCTGGGCTGTGACTGCGGAGGAATAGCAAAGCTCCAGCCAGGCAGAGTGGAGGGCCCGAGGGGAGAGGGCTGGGCCTTGACGCCAAGACGTGGCACTGCTGAGCACAAAGGCCCAGGGCCCCTCCTGACCTGGCCGTAGCAGGAGCGTCCCAGCCTCCACCCTGTCTGCGCTCAGCTGCCCTGGAGCTTGTCTGCCCTGCGGGACCTGGCCCTCTCAGGCCTGCTGGAGAGCAGCACAGGGAGTGACCGTGTGTGTCTGTATGCACGCACAGACATGCGTGTGCACGCCCGCGAGGCCTCACCCAGCGCCCTCAGCTCCATGGTGATGTCCACGTAGCCGTGCTCGGCGCTGTAGTACATGGCCTCCTGCAGGGCCTTGGTGCGGGTCCGGCTCAGCCGCACGGGCCCCTCGCTGCCGCTGCCCTGGCTTGACGTGTCGCTTTCCTCCACACCCTCGGCCAGGATCTCCTCCAGGGACAGCACGTCTGCTTTAGCCTGCTGCGGCTGCGTCAGGAGCTTCCTCAGGACATTCCTGCAGGCCCAGGGATGAATGAAGGCGAGGGCTGAGGTCCCACAGGCAGTGCCCGCCTGAGCTGCCCCCCACACCCCCTTGCCCCGACAGGCTGCTCTGCGGCATCTGAGGGCTCAGAGGTTCATGGTCTTCCTCCTCCAGGCAGGTAGGCCAGGGCTCTCAGGGTCACCAATCCCCATACACCTCCGAGAGGCAGGGCAGAATGCAGGGGGACCCACCCTTCCACCATCCTGGCATTGCTGAGAAGTCCCAGGCTTTGGGGCTGAGTGAACTCTGCCATCCCGGGTGAACCCTGACCGCTTTGGTATCTGTATTGCAGGGTGTCAGTATCACACTTTCCCAGGGTTAACGTGAGGCTGGTGTAAGGCTTTAAATGCAGAGCCTGAAACACGGCAGGTCTTCCTAAATAGCAGCTGACTCTGCATGTAAAAGCGTCTAAAACACAGGAAGAGCCCGGTAAGTGCTTATGTCCCTTCACGTTGATAAGGATGAACTGAAGATGAATGTCATGTAGAACTTCTTCACATTTATGAATGAAGACACAGAATGTTAGACCCGGTGGAGGACACTCCCCTGCGCTGCTGCTTTTAGCCTCGTCAGAGCCCACATGCATTGCCGTCACAGGTGACAAATCTGTCTTGCTCAAGGCCACTCTGGGTGGGGGTACAGACCCAGGACTTCTGGTTCCAAGCCTAGGCTCATTCTGTCACCTTCTGTGGCCTGGGGCTCTGGGATGGATGCAGCATGGGTGGGACTGCAAGATTACTGGGGGGCTGACCTGCTCCGGCACCACCTGGCAGACCCTCATACCTGCCAACCCATGGCCTGGAGGTACCGTTCCAAGGACCCAAGGTCCCTCCCAAGGGAGGGACCTCCTCATGTGTGGACTCTTGAGCTCAGGCAGTTTACAGAGCTGGGCACTGGCATGTGAAGGTGAACTAGCCACCCTGCCTGTCCCAAGGGTCCTGTGCTCAGAGTGGGCAGTCTCTATACATGGTGACGAGGCCGCCACCAGGGGATGCAGGCCCTGGGTGGGGTGGAGAGGCCTAGAGGTGGCGACGTAGAAGATGGATGGTGCCTGGAGGGTCGGGGCTGCTGAGGTGGGTGAACGTGAGGGTGGGTTGGAGATAGTCAGAGAGAAAAGCATTCTAGGGAAGGGGACCCCAGCCTGAGCACAAGCCTTGGGACGAGAACAGTGTCCGGGAATTGGAAGTCAGTGTCCTGCCAGCCAGCCCTGCTTTTCCAGCCCCATTTCTGCCCTGTAATCACCTCTTGTCTGGTCTCCTTCTGCCCCTCTGTGCTGCCTCTGACTTCGGCCGGCTGCTGTCCCACACACCCCTGGGGAGGCCTGGTCCCCACAAAGCAAATGCTACCATCTACACCTGAGGCAGGGTGCAGTTTCATGCCAGGAGCCTCTGCGTGGCTGAGCTGTACGCTGTCTGGACACCCAAGGCCACTTGGGCACTGGTGGACCACCAGCAGGTGTGGGAAGCAGTGTGGTCCTGCGTGGGCTGTGGCAGCTGCAGAGTGGTGTCTCACTGGGAAAGGGGACAGTCTTCCCTGGGCGTCAGGAGGCCCAGGCTCCAGTCCCAGCCCTGCCAGGAACCAGCTGCGGGGCCTCCCCCATCTCCGGCCCCGGCGCTGGCTCAAGGCCCTCATCTTTCTGGTTTACTCGCACACAGGCTTGGAAAGGTCTCCGGGCCTAGTTTTTTTGCTCCCATTGGGGAAACTGAGGCTCCTGTGAGCTTATTTCAGCGCCCTCACATCACATAGGGTAGGAATCCCAGGCAGGTACCTGTGGCCGTGGGCAGCTGAGTGGCTGAAGCAGTTCATGTCCTCATGGAGGGAGGAGCCCATGCCGTGGGCCTCGAGCATGCTGAGAAGCGGGTCGGCACCGCGGCTCAGCAGCAAACTGACCAGCTCGTAGTTTCCTGAAAGGGAAGGCGGGCAGCATGGAGGACACTGAGATAGTGGCTGCCAGGGCAGCTGAGGTGAAAGGGAAGGGAAAGCGGGATTCTTGCAGCTCTGAGTAATGGAATAAATCAGCAAACCCCACGCTCATCTGCATTTGGCAGATGAAGTGGAGGGAGAGGAACAAGGCTGTCCATGCCCTGCCCCTGCGCCCCCTCCCCGGGTCCCCAGAGGGAAGGGCCTCCCTGCTCCGCTGAGTCCTGCCAGATGCTGAGCCCAAGAGAAACTGATGGATGGGGCCAGGGGAAGCCCCCCAGTGGCCCAGAGAAGGGGTTTCAAGGACCGCTCCCCCACCCCCCGCCAGGGTCTGTGTGTGCCACAGAGACCCCTGCACGTCCAGCTGCATGCCTGGCCAGGCTGGAGGACATGCAGGGAAGGGCAGACAGAGCTTCCGGGCAGCAGCACCTACCTGCCGCAGAGGCCAGCTGCAGAGGCGTCTCCGCGTAGCTGTCCTCACCGCCGTTCACTGCCGAGCCCTCCACATGGGCACCAGCGTCCAGCAACAACTGCCAGGGGCACAGAGTGGGAGGGCACTGCTCAACATGACAGGGAGCACCTGGGAAGGGCCAGAGTGCTTTGGGGGACAAGGCCTTTAGTGCTCTCCAAGCATGTGACCAAGAAGACATGGTTCACCCCAGCAGCTGAGGAACTGGAACTTTAGAACTCTGGGTTATCCTCGGGGCTCAAAGTTTCTAGAATCTTCAACTCCATTCTTGTGGCTCAGGACCAAGCCCCTAAGCTGTTAGGACCTCTGAGCTTTTTCTGTCTTTCAAATGCTTTCCCATGAACCGGCTGCGGCCACCTTTCCGAGAACGAGAACTCGTGTGCATGAGCAGCATAGAAAATGTTGCCCTCAGACTGGGTGCAGTGCAGGAGGATCATGAGGTCCAGAGTTCAAGACCAGCCTGGCAAACATGGTGAACCTGTCTCTGCTAAAAATACAATATATCAGCTGGGTGTGGTATTGTATGCCTGTAATTCCAGCTACTCTGGAGGCTGAGGCAGGAGAATTGCTTGAACCCCGGAGGTGGAGGTTGTGGTGAGCGGAGATCATGCCATTGCACTCCAGCCTGGGTGACAAAGCAAGACTCCGCGTCAAAAAAAAAAGAAAAAAAAAATGTTGCTCCCGAGCTATGGGGTAAACCACGGCTCTGGGTGGCAGCAGGTATTGGAGTCAGAAGGAGCAGGGTACCAGTGCTGGCCACTGACCAGTGAGTAACCCCTGGCAGGTACTTCAACTCCCGGAGCCTCAGTCTTTCTCATCCACAGAATGGGAAGAGGGGGCCGCTTCCCTTCAGCTTCTCATGGGAGAGGTACAGCAGCTACCCCAGGATGGCAGATGGTGTGGCTGGAGCATAAAGTCCCAGTCTAGGACAGGAGAGGGCCTCTCCCCATGCTGGCAAGGGCTGACGCTGACAGGGGACAGACGGGGCAGGGTTAACAGATACCAGGCAGTTCCAGATGAGCCGGTCCTGGCTCTGCCTTGGGGCAGGGGTGGGGTCTGCGTTACTCCAGCTGGTGACTTTCAGCTCCCGTTCTACCTTCCCTGCCCAGCTGCTCTGGAGGGAGCAACTTTCCAGCCCTCCCAGGCTCCTGGAGACCAAACCTTCCTCCAAGCATGCCTGGCAGCCTAGGCAAGCCCCACCCGACATTTGCCTGGATACCAGGAGTGGAGTTCGGGCTGACCGTTCAATCCCACGGACTGTGTGGCATGCAGGACCGCCATCACTGGACATGCAGCAGTCAGAAATCAGTCATGGCCCCATTCTCTGCACCAGTGCCAAGGCCATGGAGGTGGGGGCCTGCTCACTGCGGCAAAACTGGGCACGAGTCCAGGCAAGCCCGGGGCATAGCCCCGCAGGCCCAGTCTGAGCTGAGGTTGGGATTTTGCTCCAGTCCTCATAAGGCAAAGGCAGCAGGATGTGGCAGCCAGTGGGTAATGGCCATTCACGGAGCCCTTGGGATAGGCTAGGGCTGTGAATCAGCCAGACATGATCCCCACCCTCAGAGGCCTTGCAACCTAGTGGGGAGTGAGGGCGTCACGCCAGCTCCCTGGAAGAGATGCCATGAAACCCTGTGCGTGCCAGCGATCTGAGGACCTGGGAGTGAGAGTGCATTTGGCTGGGGCGCCTGCTGGCATGGGGAGCTGCTCTGCCCACAGCTTCTGCTTCTAGAACCACCACCTGTCCCGATGCTAGCACAGCTACCTGGGCCGAGGTGGGCAACCTGTGGCTTGGCTCGACAGGTGAGTGGCACCAATCTGAGTCTGAGTCCTCAGGAACTGGGGAGGGGACAGAATTGCACAGACCGCATCACACAAAGCCAGCCCTGCAGTAGAATTCACGAGGGAGGAAAAAAGGGAAGGGTTGGAAAGATGGCTGGAGGCAAGAAAGCCGAGCTGGACCGGGACAGCCCCAGTGTGCCCGACCCGAGGAAGACAGAGGTTCCGGAGGGTAAAACAGAACCCTAGTGCTGCCTGGCCCCAGGTCCTGTTTCCTAAAATTCCACGTGTCCTTGCACTAACCCCTCTCCTTGAGGTAACTCAGGTGGGCCACTGCCTTACTGATCAGGTGAGCCGGCCTGAAGCAGTGCCTTTGGGGTCTCTGATTGAGGGCACCTGCCCACTCAGCTGAGGCTGGGGCTGTGCTTGGGGCCCAGCCCACCTGGTAGGCTGGGGCCACAATGTTCACCTGGACCACAGGAGCTCACCTGGACCACAGAGATGTGTCCATGCAGCACAGCAAATGTCAGCGAGGTCCAGTGCCGGCTGTCGGGGTGGATGGAAGGGTGCCTGGGAGAGTTGCTTGGAACCTGGAAAATACCACAAATCATGTGTGTTTCCTGGGCACCGGAATGAAGGGAGCGCCCTGCAGGGAGGGGGAACAGGAGTCAGGTAATGTTTGCCTGGAGCGCTGAGTGACAAGGCTCAAAAAGAGAGGATGGGTATTTAACTGGCAGTGTCTGCCCTGGGCAAAAGACGGTGGTGGGGCAGGGTGGTGCTTTATGCCTCAGAGGGAGGCAGAGCTAGAAGTATTTGGGGATGGAAGGAATGGCGGGAGATTAGGCTGGTCAAAGGAGAAAGATCTATAAAAACAGTGTCACAGCCTGTCTCTCCACGCAGCTCCCGCCTCAGCCCACTCCCTCTCAGACAGAAAGCCCAGAGCTTGGTAAGACTCCCCTGTGCTAACAGTGGCCTCTGTGCATCTTGTCTTTCTCGTCTTTTGATGCACATCAACTCAATTGCCCAAAACACCACACCCAGTGTTTGCTGGAGACCTCGGGGTGATCCCTGCTGGCCTAGGACCCGTGTGCAGCTCTGTGGGGCTTCCTCACCTGGATGTCCAGGTTGGCCCCGGCATCAATCAACATCTGGACCATCGCCTCGTCCCCCGCAGCGCAGGCGTACATCAGCGGCGTCATACCCTGAGCAAATCAAACACACATGCTAAACTTTTTGCAAATGGAACACAACACTGTGTACCCACAGGCCTCTGCCCCAGAAACCACAGATTGGGCCCCACCACCCTGTGCTCCCCTGGGTTTTGTGCTTCTGGGCTGCTGGGGACAGGGCATGGGGAGGGTGAGCGGGGGCACTGCCATGGGGAGCTGTAAACTTGGTACAAGTTATATGCCCTCTCTGTGCCTCAATTTCTTTGTCTGTAAATGAGTAATGACAGCAGCATCTTATCTCCCTCAAAGGGTTGTTGCGGACTGTGGATTAATATGTATAAAGTGCTTAGTTCAGAGTGAGCTTACCTTAATTAAGAACTACCTAATGAAAATACTCAGCCCTGGATCAGGAGATCATTGAAGTAGATCCTGACACTAAGGAAATGCTGAAGCTTTTGGATTTTGGCAGTCTATCCAACCTGCAGGTCACTCAGCCTACGGTTGGGATGAATTTCAAAACGCCTCGGGGCCCTATTTGAATCAATGGCTGTATTATTTTCAATAAACCTGGGACAACAGCAAAAAAAAAAAAAAAAAAAAAAAAAATACCAACAACACTCTGACAGCTAGTATGCCATAGAGTCTCATAGCACCATCCCAGGGCTGTGCGTGGAAATCACTGTGCCCGTGATTAGCATGCAGCCTCTCCCTCCATCATCGTAATATCCTGTTCTCCCCAGTTTACGGCTGAGGAGCAGAGAAGGGGAATTAACTGCCCAAAGTCACATAACTAGTGAGAGGTTGAACGCGGGGCAGGACCCAGCCTCCATAAGCTGTGAAGCCCATGCTTTGCGACGTCTCCCGAGACAGTAGAGGAGGGGTTTGACTTCAGCATCTTATGCTCCTGAGCAGTCCAGAGCGTTCCTGCAAGCTGAGTCCCACTGTCTCCCTGGGTTAGGTGGGCAGTTGGTGGGCCACCTCCCTGGCTGGGAATCCTGCTCTGTGACTGGCAACAGCAAAGGCCGTGGCAGCTGTTTATTCCGCGGCTGGGTCCCAGCGGGTGTTTGCCTGGTGCCCCATGATGTTATTTGTTAGGATTATTTGTGTGTAGACAAGATCTCCTTTCCTTATAAACCCTTGCCTAGTGCCCAGAGATAAAGCCATGGCCTGAGATTAATCACGGGGTGAGAGGACTGTTTTCCTCCAGATCATCCTATAAATACTAAGGTTTCTGGAACAAACAGGACTGAGCACTTATTCCTAGACGAAGGCCAACACCACAAAATAGAAATCTGGCTTTGTTTCATCTCCCTGTGGACAGGCTTGACTTACTTTTTTCTCCACACATCTGTACACAATTTGGAGTTTAAACCAAGTGATGAGCCCTGTGAGGAGACACTGCTTTTTCCCAGGTCCCTGTCCCCACGCACTCCAGGCATAGAAAGAGGCCAAATAAAACCAGGCTGGCTTGCAGATTTCAGGCATCAGCATCATATCGACAGCAATACAACTAAAACAATCATCATATTGGCAACCCAAACCGGAATGAACATTTACTGAGCGCCAACTCTGCGCTGGATGCAGGATTCCCCCTAACCCTATGTGGCAAGTGCTGCCATCCCCTATCTTACAGGGGAGGAAACTGAAGTGCCCTGGGGAGGCAGAGTAACTTGTTCAAGATGCTACAGCTTGCCCAGGCGCAGTGGCTCACACCTGTAATCCCAGCACTTTGGGAGGCCCAGGTGGGTGGAACACAAGGTCAGGAGATTGAGACCAGACTGGCCAATATGGTAAAATCCTGTCTCTACTAAAAATACAAAAAAATTAGCCAGGCGTGGTGGTGCACACCTGTAATCCCAGCTACTCAGGAGGCTGAGGCAGGAGAATTGCTTGAACCCGGGAGGCAGAGGTGGCAGTGAGGCGAGATCACACCACTGCACTCTGGCCTGGGTGACAGAGTAAGACTCAAAAAAAAAAAAAAGATGCTACAGCTCTTACATGGCCAGTAAATCGGCTGAAGCTAAAGTCCACGGGCTTCCACACTGTGCTGCTGAAGAAGGAAGACTCCACCAGGACGAAAGCTCCCACAGAGCCCTGGAACCTGTGTCGACGGAGAGGTCCCCAGGAGACCCCACAGCAGCCTGCCACCTGCCGCTGCCCTCTGGAAGCCCAGCACTGGGTCTGTGGTCCTTCCCCAGCCCCTGGCCCGGGCACACACCCTGACTGCCCCACCCCACGTTCTTTACATCCCTTTCCCTGGAATGCCTTGCCCACTCCTCTCTGCACCACCCCCGATCCTGCCCTCCCCCAGGCTTGGCTCAACTGCCTCCAGCAGGAACCCTCCCCTGGCAGCTCGTCCCATCCGTCAGAGGCCACACTGGCCTTATGGTCTGCCTGGAGCTTCATCACAGGCTGCACCGTGCCATCACCTCATCTGAGAACGCTGCCTTAACTGGCCACTGTCATTTAACTGCCCCCGCTCTGCATGGCCTTCCAAACCCCACAGGGCCCCTCTGCACACAGTGAGTGCTCTCAGCGCAGTGTCGAACACACAGGATATTCCACAGCGGTTGAGAGGCTGGGTCCGGCTGCTCAGATTCTCCACCCAGCTCTGCCCCTTACTAGTTGTGTGACCTTAGGTAAAGCAACCTCTCTGTCCCTCAATTTCCTCATTGATACAATGGGGAAAATAATAGTGCTACATCACAGGGCTGCTGTCAAGAGGAGATTAGTTCATCTATGTGAAGCACTTAGAACAATGCCTCGAACACAGTAAATGCTATCTAGATGTTAGCTGTTCACAACAAAAGTAAAAAGCAAAACAGATGCAAAAGTCAAAGCCTATCTGAATCTGTACATCACCTCCCACATCCCTACCCATTTTCATGCTTCATTTCAGTTCTCAGCACGTTCAGTCAGCATACTCTACATTTTTTTTTTTTTTTTTTTTTTTTTTTTTTGAGACGGAGTTTCGCTCTTGCTACCCAGGCTGGAGTGCAATGGCGCGATCTCGGCTCACCGCAACCTCCGCCTCCTGGGCTCAGGCAATTCTCCTGCCTCAGCCTCCAGAGTAGCTGGGATTACAGGCACGCACCACCACGCCCAGCTAATTTTTTGTATTTTTAGTAGAGACGGGGTTTCACCATATTGACCAGGATGGTCTCGATCTCTTGACCTCGTGATCCACCCGCCTCGGCCTCCCAAAGTGCTGGGATTACAGGCTTGAGCCACCGAGCCCGGCCCATACTCTACATTTTACATGTCCGTGTTTCTTATTATCTGTCTGCCCCACCAAAGCGTTAGCTCCATGAGGGCAAGGGTTTCTATGCCTGGGCGAGTAGTCAGCACACAACAGGCTGTAACACAGGGTGGGCAACTGTATCCCTAGCTGGAGAGGAAGCTCACTCTCCTGGACTCATTCCTAGCCTTGCACCGCCTGGAGCAGTGGCCTGCTGTCCAGCCAGGGAAGCAGAAGCCACAAGACAAAGGTTTTCCAAGGGAAACTGGACGTCTCCAAGCTGACATTCCACTTGACCAGGCAGGGCAGGATTCAGGAGGTAGCCCGCCTCTTCAAAGAGCAGAACTGAGCAAGTCTCAGGGTTAGGACCCAGGGCCGCCAAAGCTGAGAGCTGAGAATTCGCAACTCTGGTCCCCATGCCTGGCCTAGCGGAGCTCTAGGGACATACCTGATCATCCATAGTGTTAACCCCATCCGGCCCCAGGGCCTCGATGGCTTGGTTGATGAGGTCTGTCCTCCCACAGTTGAGCATGCGGAAACCCAGGTCCTGGTTGAATTTTTCAGTAGCTGCTCGGGCATCCATCCTCCGGAAGGAACTGAAACAGTGTTCAGGTCTGCCCAGAAAAGACCCAAACGTGTGTGTGACTATGCAGACAGCAACTTTCAATGACACGACACAGATGTGTGAGGCTTACGTGTGGAGTGAGGATGAGGATGGGTGGGGAGAAGGACCAGGGAGTTATGATCAGATCAGCAATGACTGTCCCCATCATGTTCTGTGACATGAAGAGCACATATTTCTGCTTTTCTATAAATCCATTTTAAAAAGTGCCCAGGGGCCAGGTATAGTAGCTCACCCATAATCCCAGCACTTAGGAGGCAAAGGCGGGTGAATCACTTGAGGTCAGGAGTTTAAGACCAGCCTGGCCTACATGGTGAAACTCCGTCTCTACTCAAAATACAAAAATTAGCCAGGTGTGGTGGCGCACGCCTGTAATCCCATCTACTCAGGAGGCTGAGGCAGGAGAATCAATTGAACCCAGGAGGTGGATGTTGCAGTGAGCTGAGATCACACCACTGCACTCCAGCCTGGGCAACAGAGTGAGACGCCACCTCAAAAATAAATAAAAAAAAAAATAAAGACGTACTCTGAGCTCTTGCTGCTTCAAGTGGCAGGAAACAAAGACTCGTGTAAACCAATGTTATGGGGCTGCCCGAGGAGAAAGCAGCTCCCACCCGGACTCGTGCCGCAGAACTTGGCTGTAAACTATTTGTATGGAGCAGGCTGCTCTCGGCCTAGAAACGGTCACTGTGGCCAAGTTCTAGCATTTGGCTCCACATTCTTTCCCTTTCTACTAAAAATACAAAATCACCTGCACATGGTGGCATACACCCATAATTTCAGCTAAAACTGAGGCAGGAGAATCACTTGAACCCGGGAGGCAGGGGTTACAGTGAGCTGAGATCACACCATTGCACTCCAGCCTGGGCATCAGAACAAAACTCCATCTCAAAAAACAACAACAACAACAAAAACAAAAACAAAAAGATAAAAGGCTCTCACAGGCCAAGGATGGCCAGGGAAGCTTCCCTAGAAAAGCTCCTCAGCAAACGGGTCTACTATGAGAGGCACTTAGGGAAGGAAATTAGGAGCACAGGCATGGAGGCCTTATGGACCTGGGTTCAAATCTGAACACAATAAAGTGCTAGCTGAGTATCTGTGGGCAAGCTACTGTTCCTCTCTGACCCTCAGCTTCTTCATCTGTAAGATGGGCATGATCACCTCTTCTCTGCACTTGTCACGAGGACTAAGATAATGCACATAAAGAAGGGCTCACAGCACCTGCACCCAGGAAGGGTCCATGTGGTGTCAATTACAGGAACAGAGGAAAGAGCAGGCCCATTTCTGCCCCTCAGCCCCCAGGTATCCCAAAGAGTCAGATGTGTGGGTCTCCTGCCCCAATCCTAGCGTGGCTCCTCTACGCAGCAGACCAGCGGCTGCAGGCGTTGCCAGACAGCAGCCAAGGTCTAGAGTAGATTCGTTCCCATACTCAGGCTTGGCCTTTGCAGAGAACACCCTTAGAGCAGCTTGAATGCTCTGCAGCCCCTGCTCTCTGACCCCTCCCAGCCACCCGGGAAAGAAGGAACACTTGGGAGCTGCTGGGGGCGGGACATGGATGTTGGGGGCCCTCCCTCCTCCTGGGTTCCTACTTGAGCTGCCGAGGTTCACAGTCCAGACCAGGCAGCAGCAGCCGGGCCGCCTGGCGGATGTCGCCGCTGTCCACAGTGAGGCTGCGGCGGTGCTCTGCATAGGTGATGGCCACACGCATCCATTCCATGAGGGGCGGCAGCAGCATGAAGGGCCTGCGGGGCAGTAGAGAGAGGGTCAGGATGGGGGTGGGGTCCCTGTGGGGCAGCAGAGAGAGGGTCAGGCCTGAGGGGTTGCTCCCTGAACGGAGACCCCTTAAGCACACACCACATGCTCATAGGCGGCCACCAAGGCTGGTCACCCCTTGCAGGAGACCTTCTCCTTCTGCTCACAGAGACCCTGATTGTACCTGCAATGCACAGATGGAGTTTCCATCATGGGGCATTAGCAGAACCCGAGGGCCCTAGGGTGGCCCAGAGAAGGGGGATTTCCCAGTGTGTGGAACTGGGGACCCTTGTCCCCTCCAAAGAGGTCAGTTGGGGGTCCCCAAGTGTTCCTCTCCGCAGAGGGGAAAGGCTGCACAGCTAAGAGTCTCACAGACCCAGGTCCAAACCCAGGGCTGCCACCAGCAGTGTCACATCACTGCCCCCTCTGACCAGCGCACCCGAGCCTGTTTCTCCACCCGCAGCACGCGTGTGATACCTCCCCATTGAGGCTGTCACGAGGCCAAATGGGACGACACATATCACGCTGCCGAGCAGCATTAATGACCACTCCTTCCTCATCTGGCATCTAGGCCAAGTTGGGCCAACACCAATTCCTGTGCCAGGCCAGGGTTGCCCCCAGGTTAGCACTCAGAGAAGAGTAGCAGTCTCAGGCCCCATAGGGAGGAATGGTCCCAGCAGCTGGAGTATCACTAAGAGCCCGTGAGGACAGGGAGAGGTGGGGGCAGGCTCAGAGCTGCAAACTCCAAGGGGCACCGCACACAGGTCCGCTATGTGCCGCCAGGGAGCGCCACACGCACAGCCTGTGTTGGTTCCTGACTGCAGCTCAGGCCAGGCCCACCCCTCGTGGCCACCAACTCTAATTCAGCCAGGGAGGCGGGTCTCTACCAGTCTGGGACGCGTTTCTGTCCTCGGCCAGCTCTGGCAAGGCTCCTGAAACCCCTCAGGAGACCACTTCGCCATCCAAAAGACCTCCCCGCTGCCGAGGAGCCCGGACGGCAGCCTGTGGCTTCGTGACTCCATGGACGCCCACCTGCCCTGCCCAGAATGGATGGAGCTCTTCCCCGCTCTGTCACAGGAGCGAGATAGCCCTGAGGCCCTGTGCCTCCTCCCTCATGCTGTTCTCTCTGATGAAAGCCCAAAAGTCGGCCTCCCGGCTCCTGCCTGTTCCCAACCCCTCCCGATGCCACTCTTGTCCTTCCTTTCAAACTAAGCCAGGGAGCGGGGCAGACAGCCAGGGGCAGGCGGACAGGCCTCCAGCCATCCCAAGTCCGTCAGGGCTCTTGGAGCGTTCCGCCTGTGCTGTCACTTCAGTCTCTCCCCTTGACACGCAGCTAAGTGCTCCCGCCAGGAAAAAGATGCCTCCTTCCAGAGAACTCTCCTCAGCTATGAAGAAAGCCACCTCCAGGGAGTCAGCCAGGGCTGCCCTCGGAACCTCTATCTCAGGTCTCCAAAAACTCAAGTCATCTCCTGAGTTCCAAAAGTTTCTCTCCTCAAGGGCAAAGAATGCTTTTGTTTTAAACATTAGCAAACAAAATGAAATGCTCCTTGACTTAGGATGGGTTTACATCCCAATAAACCCATTGTAAGTTGAAAATATCCTAAGTGGAAACGCATTTAATACACCTCACCTAATGAACAGCCTGTCTTAAACATGCTCAGAACACATATATTTGCCTATAGTTAGGCAAGATTATCTAACCCAAAGCCTATTTTATAATAGGGTTGAACATCAATGTAATTCACTGAATGCTGCAATGAACATGAAACACAGAATGTTCACTGAAGCCAAGTGTGGTGGCACACGCCTATAGTCCCAGCTACTTGAGCCCAGGAGCTGGAGGCTACAGTAAAAAAAAAAAAAAAAAAAAAAAAAAAAAAAAAAAAAAAAATGCTAGGTGAGGTGGCTCATGCCTGTAATCCCAGGACTTTGGGAGGCAGTGGTGGGTGAATCATGAAGTCAGGAGCCTGAAACCATCCTGGTCAACATGGTAAAACCCCGTCTCTACTAAAAATACAAAAATTAGCCGGGTGTAGTGGCACGTGCCTGTAATCCCAGCTACTTGGGAGGCTGAGGCACGATAATTGCTTGAACCCAGGAGGTGGTGGAGGTTGCAATGAGCCGAGATTGCACCAGATATGGGTGACAGAATGAGACTCCATCTCCAAAAAAAAAAAAAAAAAAAAAAGATTATTAGAAGAAAGTTTTGCTGAGTGATTAAAAGTATGGATGAACATCAGTAACTTACTATAATGTACCCAGGTTTTCAGTTATAGACCAAGTCATGTTTCTGCCCAGAAAAGAATGGTGTATAATTTTCAAGAGCCTAGTGTTGACTCATTAGAGTAGTAGCTGCAATTCAATGGGGGGAATTTGTGTAGTCTAGGAAGAAACAACAATCCATTCATGAACTATCCCTCTGTTTACAAGAGTTCTCTTAAACATAAATGTCCAATTCCCCCCAAATATTTTTAGATTTCACATTTTTTTTGTTTTTGAGATGGAGTCTCACTCTGTCGCCCAGACTGGAGTGCAGTGGCACAATCCTGGCTCACCGCAACCTCTGCCTCCTGGGTTCAAGCAATTCTCCTGCTTCAGCCTCCTGAGTAGTTGGGACTACAGGTGCACGCTGCCATGCCCAACTAATTTTTCGTATTTTTTTTCAGTAGAGACGGGGTTTTACTGTGTTGTCCAGGCTGGTTCCTAATTCCTGAGCTCAGGCAACCTGCCCACCATGGCCTCCCAGAGTGCTGGGATTACAGGCATGAGCTACTGCACCCGGCCCACAATTCTTATATTACAAGGCTGGAAGGCAAGCTTAGAGACATGCTTCTATACAACAGTCCTTCTGATTGCAGGACAAGCCTTTATTTAAACCATCAGCATTGGAGACTGAAGTGTAAACAGAAAGATACTCCGCAGACTTGCCAGCCATCCTTCCCTATTGCGGCCAACAGCCAAGACAAAGCCCCATGTGTGGCTACCAGATGTCTAAGAGGGCATCTCCTAGTTGCACTAGGGGAAATCCAAGAGGGAAATCATGAAGTCTAATCATGTGGCATTTTGGCTTATTCCCCTACTTTATGCTCCTTAGAATGCAGCACTTGGAAAATGCAGTATTGATGATTCTGGTGGGTATACACTGGGGATTGGCTCCTTCAGCCCTCACTTTCCATCTTGGCTGGAGACGTGGAAAGTTAAAAACTGCATTTCCTTTGCCAACAGGTGCGGATCATCTGAGGTCAGGAGTTCGAGACCAGCCTGACCAACACGGAGAAACCCTGTCTCTACTAAAAATACAGAATTAGCCAGGCATGGTGGTGCATGTCTGTGATCCCACCTACTTGGAAGGCTGAAGCAGGAGAATCGCTTGAACCTGGGAGGAGGAGGTTGTGGTGAGCTAAGATCTTGCCATTGCACTCCTGTCTGGGTAATAAGAGCAAAACTGTTTAAAAACAAAAAAAACAAAAAAGTAAAACCCACAAAAGCCCTGCATTTCCCAGACTCCTTTGCAGCTGGGATTCTGGATGCAAATTAGGTTTTATCATTAAGACATGCCGCATGAGAGTCGGTAAGTGAATGGGAGGCAGAGGCCATCTTTGTGTGCACATTGTCTGTTTTGCTAGCAAACCAGGTCATGAAAACATCAGGTCTTCTTTTCCTATAGAACATTCCAGTCCAGTTTCCACCTACCTGAGACTTCAGAGGCAGTGGTAGTGATGGTGAAATGATGAAAGCAATAGCAAAGACTTTTTTTTCTTTTAAAAAAGCCTCTCACCTCAGCCTCCCAAATAGCTGTGACCACAGACGTACACCACCATGCCCGGCTAATTTTTTGTTAGAAGAGATGGGGTTTCACCAATGTTGCCTAGGCTGGTCTTGAACTCCTCAGCTCAAGTGATCTGCCAGCCTCAGCCCTCCAAAACGCTGGGATTACAGGCATGAGCCACTGTGCCTCTCGATTCCAGCTTTACTTCTGAATTGCAGCTCCAGAGGTGTTGTTCAAACTCATAGTTCTGGGGACCGTCTTAGAGGGAGCAGCTCGCCTGATGGGCGAGCTCATCATTCCTGGATGCTCAGCCTACACCCTGCTCCATGAGCTCTTCCGATGATTCTGTGAATGCCCAATTCCCTACATTAAATCATCTCTTGCTCAAAATACCTACAATGCTTTCTGCTTCCTGAATTAAAAACTGATTAATACTTTCAATATAGAGAAATCTAGATGAGCCCTCTGTCTCTGGGGAGGTGGCTGGTGCCCACATGTATAAACAAGGCCATGCCAGCCCCCAAACTGACCTCTTCAGGCCTTTCTCCTCTGCCCACCGACCTCCCCGGCCTGGGATCTATGGGAAGGTAAAATGAGAAGAAATTCATGGACTTTCTTAGGAACGTGCCTCCCATGGGCTACCGTTTCCTTCCTGGTAATGCCATGGAGTCTGCTGGGCAGGCTGACATGAGCTGGACATGCACGTCTGGCCATTCTGGAAAACCCCTCTAAAAACTCCCATCTGCAACAGCATGGCTGTCAGAACTCCAGGGTGAAAGAGCCTGAAGGAGCAAGACTGAGAATGACCAGCATGTGTGCTGTCCTCAAGGTCCCAAAGAGGTTCTTCTTTCCTGCTTGTTGCCTTTCCCACCATAGGCTGAGCTTGGCCGTTCCATGCCCAAATGCAGATATCTGCAGGGCCAGAACCAGGAGATTGGGTCGAGGCTGAAAAAGCTCCCTTTGTTCAGCCTTTCTGCTGCTGGATTTTTCCTTAGCTGGATCTGATAACTCGGAATAGTGGTTTTCTATTTTTTCCCCTGGTTTCAGGACCCTATACATACCCTTAAAAATTGGTTGGGCATGGCGGCTCACACTTGGAATTCCAGCACTTTGGAAGGCTAAGGCGGGCAGATCACTTGAGGTCAGGAGTTTGAGACCAGCCTGACCAATGTGACAAAACCCCATCTCTACTAAAAATGCAAAAATTGGCTGGATGTAGTG